CGCATGGCCCTCTGCCGCACAGTGCAGCACGTCTGTGCTTCAGCGTCAACGTCGGGAACCCCAGCCAGCGCACTAAGATCAGAGATCCATCGCATACCTTAGCTAAGATGGTCAGCCAAGGTCCTCCTCTCCTGTGCCTTCCTGCTGGTAAGGCTTTGGCCGCTTTGCCAGTCAAGGTGGCCCGACGTCGTTTTCTAGGCTCGGCAATCGTCAACGAACGAGCCTTTTAGCTTGCTGTACTAGCACGGCGGCGTCCTTCTTGGGGGCAGAAAAGAAGCGTCGAGAAGACAACGAATTAGCCCCGACATTGTTCCTTTCGTTGCTGTTTTCTCCCTCCAGCGCCTCAGCGGCTGCTTGCCCCGAAACATCCTCATCACAGGCGCTCAGCCGCCGGACCGTCCTGCGGGAAACTCGTCATTACGCAGGAGCCAGAGACGAAGGACTTGAGGCCAGGTGCTTTTAACTTTTCCCAACCAGGGACGCCCGAACTATACGTCCGTCGACCGGATGACATGAGGCATTGCGGAAACGAAAGAACACAGGTGCCGCGTGTGACTGGCAAAGTCACTACCAATCGTCGACAGCATGGCAAAGTCGAGATTGAACAAGAACAACAAAGACGACAATAACAATAACAGACACAACGGTTAGAATACCGAAAGAGGAATTGTGCCAAGTCCGAGGCCCAAGGCGGACGAGAATGATGGATCGAGGAGCACGGCCGGGCGTGTCAATGAGGGCGGTTGTACCTCGACTTGCCTTGCCTTGCCTTATGGCGCCAACCGCTGCTGCCGCTGGGTTATCGTGTACTAGACCGCTGAGACGGTTCCAGCGCGCCTCGACTACAGTCCGAGTAACTCAGTCGGCTGGTTGATGAGGAGATGCCATCGACAAAAACACACACATTTCGAGACCTGGCTCAGGGAGTGAATATCCATTTGTTGCTGACCTGCCGACAGATATTTGAATTTGCGCCGATAGCTAGATGAAGATAAACCCGAGTGCGACCACTCAAGGGTGGCCATTGCGCTGCTTGGGGCCCGGACTCGACTACCTACCCGGGCTCAGAGACAGACAGCCTCAGCGCGTGGCAGTAAGACAGCAATTTGGTCTCAAGTCCAGTCGACATTATTTTAGTCAAGCTAAGCACAATTGAGGCCATACAGTTAGGGTTTGGTTACTTCGAGTACTCCTGAAGCAGCCGACATGATAACCCCCGTGGGCTTCAACGAGAAGGACGGTACTTGAATACCAACATCGCAGAGAGCGATTGCCCATGGCGACCAAACCATTGAGCTCATGACGTCGTACGGCACAGATGCTAGAGGCAGAGATTCAGATCCACAGTACCCGTACTTTGCCTTTATCCACTAGCGACCACAACCTCGAACATGGCCTTTTCTCTTGGGAACGCAGTGGTTGAAAAATAAGAGAAAAGGTGTGGTGCGAAGTGCGGGCATGCCGCCCGCCCACCTTACCTCACAATCCATCCAGCGGTCCACGCTTACTGCTCGCCGGGGTTGAGGTCGGTCTGGTACCATACGGAGAGTATCATTGATCCGTAGCGTGGAGAGACGGGTCGGGTGTGTTGGTCCTCGGTTGGTCCAGTCAAGTCCACACGTCCACGGCCACGTCCATGTCCCCGTTCAGTCGCAGTTGCGGTCGGGAGAGGAAGAGAGTCGCACAGGTCATCGGTACCTCTTCTCACGAAGCGATGGGTATTTCTGGGGATAATGGTCTTGAGATGTCCAGACCAGTCCCTCATTGTTTTGAGCAGGCCAGCATTCTGCTCAGCACTGGACCTTTTCATCTTCATCTGTCCATTTGTCCCACACCAGAGCTCCTTCATGTCGTCCGTTCGCTTCAGAACGAGCTTGCCAGTCAATGTTTCCTCTGAAAGGCCGACAGACCGACCGCAACTGACTGGGGCTCGACCTCAGGCCATGACCCCCTGGTTGAAGCCAACAGAACCCCTCCCACTGGTACCACGCTGCTCCAACCACGCCCCTTGGGCGAGCATGGCGCAGAGAAGGACGACAACGGAGCCCATGTCCAGTCAGCGAGAGGCTTTCAAGCCATGCCGGTTCGTCACACCCCCCCTCTCTCTGGCTCCCAGGGCCCTTCAAGACTTCCCTCCACCCACCGAACGGCGACGGTTAGCTTAGCCTGTCCGTACCACCCTTCGAGGGCTCAGGTAGCTAGCTGAGAATTTACTCGACACTACGCCCCAGCCCGACCCAGTGGTAAAGACCGAAGAAGAGACGAAATCAGACCAAGCAGAAAGGCAGAGGGAAGCGAAGGCCGACGGCAAGATCGCCTACCGACGCAATCGCGGCGGATGTAGCTGAAGCGAAGCAGCCGACCCTGGAAAGCACCCAAGAGAAGGAGTCCAAAAAAACACGGGAAACGTAAAGTGTTGCTAACTAAGGCAAGGTACGGCACAAGGTGCTTCGAGGCAGATACTTGGGCCAAGTGAGTTGAGGTACCTGACAGCTAGCGGGACACACGATGTCAGTACGGGAAGGGGGAAAAAAAGAAGAAACACCATCTGCGAACATTACGAGTCAAAATATCCACTTTTATCAAAAGAGGCTTCTTCTACCTCCATCTAATAATTAAGCCAAGATCAAAAGGTATTGTCGAGTTCCCGTCCAATGCCATGTAGACGCGGGACGGCGTCCACATGAACAAACCGAAAATAACAATATTGGCATCCGGAATAGACGCGAACCTTTAGCCGAGTACCTTCCCGGCCATGATAACCAAGAACACGGTTGTCATAAAGAAGGGCTCGAGATATCCCTAGGGACGGATGTGCGTAACGGAACGAGTATCATGTCAACTGAATGGAGAGAGAGCGAGAGGGAGAGAGAAAGAAAGCCAGTCAACGGACCATCCGACGGACCATAGGCGCGTTTCTTGATGTCCAAATCGAATCCTCCCAAGAAGCGCAGCGCAGCGCAACGCATCAAGTTCGTGCGGTTCTGTGTGTCCTTTCCAAGGTGACAGCGGACGTGGGAAGAGAGACAGAGAGAGAGCGCCCCGGTCTCTCTAAGTCTAAGGCGTAAGTACCATGTCGCCCGGGGATGAGGTATCGTGATACTTCAGAGCATCTGTGAGGAATACGTACCTTTCAGTCCGCCGCCTTTACCTCTTCCACGTCCTAAGGTACCTATCCCACACGCCCCCCTTCTCGCCTGTTTCTCCCCACTCTTGCTCCTCCTTCTCCTCCTTCCATCCCATCCAACCTGGCATGCCCGGCAGCAGATGGTACTTAGCCCCCCCAGTAAGGTAGCCGGTACCTTCTACCTTGCCCTGGGCATCATCCATCCAGAGACGGTGATGGCCCCTCCCACCCCGGTCGGCGGACAGTCCAGTTCAACCAGACCGGGCAGCCAGTGAGTGAGTCCCCAGCAGCAGAGAAAGGTGACGGGTCAAACCCACCACTCTCTGGGCTCCTCCTCCTCCTCCTCCTCCGGGCAGGGCCTCGCCTGTGCCATTTTCAATCTAAACCAACCTTGTCGACCGCTGTACCGCACTGCACCCGCGCACCGCACCGCACCGCACCGCTACTTCTCATCGCTCGAGTTTTTGCTGTGCGTGTGCCGTACCTTCTCCGCCCTCTCTGCCCTTGCTTCTTCTTTTTCTTCTCCTCCTACTCCTCCTCTTCCCCCGGCGTAGGTACTTGTTATGCTGCAGCTACAGCTTTTGCTACCTGGGCTTTCGCTCGTTCTCAACACCCGGCCACGGCCCCTGGCTCTGGCTCTGGCTCTGGCTTTTGCTCTTGCTCTGGAGCTGTGGCATCCCCGTAACGCAGTACCGTAAACCCGCACCGCTCTGCGGATACCGCAATACCCCAGTCGAGTACCTTCAACTTGCAGCATTTACCTTGCCTACTCTGACCTTAGCTGCACTCCAACCGGGGGTGTGCGTAGGGATAGCCTGGATACATGGACTTCGACCTGCCTCTCTTCTTTTCTCACCACCAAAAACAAAACCTTCCCACGCCCGGCTTCTTTCTTTTCCTTCTACCTCTCACGACTCCACCAACCACCTCCAATATTTCCTTAGGATAGCCCAAGAGGCGAGGACGGTAAGTGAACTCAGTCTTCTTCTTTTTGTTTTTTGCTTCCAATGCCTCTTCATTCACCTTCTCGCTCTTCACCATAAGCGCCATTTGCTTCGCATTCTTCTACTGCATCTCCTCTGCACCCTCCAACCCCATCTTACACGCCAACTCAAGCTAATGTACCTGCATTAGAAGAGTTGGGTGAGCTCGAAGAAGAGAGAAGAAATCCAGAAAAAAGACGACGACGACGAAAACGACAACGCCGCCGACGATTCTGTCTGGTCTCCAAAGTGTTTGTGTGCTGTGTCCGGTACCTGCCTGAATAGACCTTCAAACAAACGGCCTCCACCGCCTGTTACTCAGCTCCCGATTTCACAAGGAAGGGGCAGTCTCTCGCTTCCCACCGTCACCGTCCTCGGCGCCTTTGTGCAACCCGCCAAGCAAGCAAAGAATTCAAAAGATCAACTCGGTCTCTGTGTCTCTTTTTACTCTGCCCTTCGACAACCCACCTGTTGAGCCGGCCTGCCCAACCTACGGCTGACAAACTCGACAATAGACGTAGCATACCAAGCTGCAACGATCCACCATCAGATGCCACGATCATAGAAGCTTCTGATTATTTGTTACGACTGCTCACGACGACCACGACCGTCCTATCTGTTTTTTTCCGGCCAAAAAAATTCTCGTACTACGGTCTTCGTTGCACTTCACCAGGTAGCACTTGCCGTTCGAAACATTTGGCAATTCTTTGGCACCGCACATCTCGCCAGCTGATTCCAATCGCGCTTCCGTCTATCTTGGTTGGATACCTCAATTCGGCCGCATAGTCTGGATTTTTCGCTTGGGAGGAGATTTGTTCTTCCTTCACGTTGGCATTTCGCTGCTCTTGTAGTCCTGAGGCTCGCTTGGCGACTCGGACTCCACTGACACTCTGGTGTTTGGTAGGAACCTACGGGGCAACACCGTGAAGCTGGATCTACCGTCGATTTCTCAAGTGCAAACCCGGGGACCGACCGACGTGTCGTACTACAACCTTCACGCAATTCAGAGGCCGTTGTACACGAGCAACGAGAGAGTACCGTCTTTGCCATTGCCAACCCAGGCGTACTCATCGGGTACATCGTCACCCCGGGTCAGCTCTTTTGGCTCCGCCTCAAGTTCTCACGCATCCCAGTCGTCCTTCACCTCGGCCGCATCCTCCAACGGTCCCAAGACCCCCTCTCCCACACTCCCCATCACCGCGGCAATTCCTGGTTCCTCCAGCCAGCCCATTGGCGCCTACGACAGTTACCCCGCCATGAATCAACCCGCAGCAGATATGTACTATTCGCAACACATGTCTGCCGGCCAGGCACAGCAGCCTCAGACAGTCACCTCTGGCGCCATGTCTTACCACCAGCAGCCCCAACCGTTACAGCCGACTCATGGCCTGCCCTATGCCCAGCAGCACCAATATGCCCAGCCGCCTTACGGATACCCCAATGGATTGACCTCGCCCCAGAATGCTGCTCCTGGAAACCAAATGGGCGGTCAGAACGTTCTTCCTCTGCCCGGTGTCGCTACTCAGGGCTTCTCAGGCTTCGACACCACCGGACAAGTCGCCCCGCCCGGCATGAAGCCTAGGGTGACTGCCACCCTGTGGGAGGATGAGGGCAGCTTGTGCTTCCAAGTCGAAGCGCGTGGAATCTGCGTCGCGCGTAGAGAGGGTTCGTACAACCGATTGCCAGACACTGGAAGCTCGTAGCTGACGTCGCTGCAGACAATCACATGATCAACGGCACCAAGCTGCTCAACGTTGCGGGAATGACTCGCGGTAGACGTGATGGAATCCTCAAGAGTGAAAAAGTGAGACACGTCGTCAAGATTGGCCCTATGCACTTGAAGGGTGTTTGGTGAGTGTTCCGACGAAACATTTGTCCCTACTTCAACTGACCCAAAGCAGGATCCCATTCGAGAGAGCTTTGGATTTCGCCAACAAGGAGAAGATTACCGAGCTGCTCTACCCGCTCTTCGTTCACAACATTGGTGCTTTGTTGTACCACCCGACGAACCAGACCCGTACAAACCAGGTCATGGCTGCGGCCGAACGTCGGAAGCAAGAGCAGAACCAAATGCGCAGTGCTCCTCAGACCGGCGGTGGCCCTGGGCTCCCATCCATCCAACAGCATCACCACCACATGGGATTGCCCGGGCCGCAACAACCACTCCCGTCCCATGCCCAGATGGGCGGACGTCCGTCTCTCGACCGGGCGCATACCTTCCCCACGCCCCCGACCAGTGCTTCCAGCGTCATGCCTCCCGGTATGAACGCTGCCGACAACGGATTCCAATGGACTCAGGGGCAGCAAATGGGTACCGCTCAAGGCAACAACCCCATGTCCATCGATACCGGCTTGAGCAACACGGCTCGCTCTATGCCCGCGACGCCAGCTTCAACGCCGCCGGGGACGAACATCCAGAACATGCAGTCGTATCAATCCAACGCCCAGCAATACGACAACTCGAGGTCGATCTACAACCCCTCTGCGCAGCAGTCTCCATACCAAGCTGCGCATACCACATCTCAAGACCGTTCCGTCTACGGTCAGGGTGACCCGTACGCAAAGAACGACATGGGCCCGCCATCTGCAAGGCCCGCGACCTCTGGCGCACAAGACCAGAAGCCTGTCAATGGTCTCATGCATTCTGACCAGACTGGGCAAACTGTTGCCCAGCCTGCTGGAGACGAGGAGGCTGAGCATGAGCACGACGCCGAGTACACCCACGACAGCGGTGCCTACGATGCCAGCCGTGCTTCGTACAACTATTCTGCTCCTGCAGTTGGCAGCCTGCCTGCTGAGCATCAACATCTGTCTCCCGAAATGACGGGATCTCCCAGCCATCCTCCTGCTTCTGGCCGCGCCACTCCCCGCACTGCGGCCGCCCCTCAGCCATACTACTCTCAACAAACGGGCTACAACACCCCCCCGCGTGTTCCTCAACAAAACCCGGGAAGCTTGTATAATGTAATGAGCAACGACCGCAGCACCGCTGGAGCCGGCAGCAACGACGTCTACCAACCCCAGGCTGACATGGGCTCCATGTCCAACGGTTATTCGCAGATGAACGGTGCTTCCGCTGGCATCAAGCGCGGGCGTGACGACGACGACGACCTCCAACGGCCGTCGAGCGGCGCCGGCATGGACCTCAAGCGTCGGAAGACGCTCATGGATTCTTCAGTCCCTGCTATAGCATATGACTCCATGCCGCGAGCTACCCCTGTGATGGCCCAACAGCCGAGACGAAGGTAAAGGCAACCTTCAACGAGTCGATTTATTCAACCTCTTTGCCGTGCCGTCAATTCATCGAAGGCGTTGGGGTAAACCGGGGTATGATGCATGATTTGATGATCGAGAAGGAACTTCAAGAAGCTTCCTGACGTTCTCTGCACACCACTTTCCTATCTGTCTTTGTATTCGCGAGACGAGTATCGGCATCAACGTTTCAAGAGGCGACGATGATGAGTTGACGATTTCTCATTCCCTGTTTTTTAAACGCCCATCATGCCTGTAAATGCTGATGAATCACGCTTTGCATGTGGTGGACTTAATCTTAAAGACTCGGCAAATGTTGTTTTCCTTTTTCCGGTTCCTGGAGGGCAACATACACGTAAGAGAAGGGTTATTAGGTATGGCTTGCCTTTGCCTGTTACGACCTCGGGCGAAGCGACATTCGAAAAAAAAAACCGACCTCGCAGGACCGACCAGCTACATTATCAACGTTTCCTTTTCTACTTTGTCATCGACTACAGAGGAGGAGACCTGGCACCGAGGTGCCAGGGACGGAAGGATGGATGACGATTTGATGACTCTTATTCTTCCACAAAAAGTGTGAGACGTGTGTTGGGAACTGTCTCTTTTAGGTAACGACTTGACGAATTGGAAATAAAAAGCTACTGCTGCTTCGAAACACGAGAAAATATTTTCTCGATTCAACGATGTGAACCTTCGACCTCATGTGATACTTGGCCTCTACGTATACGAGGATAACGCAGCTACGATGTGATCGCCTGATTTCCAACATGATGCGAAGTGCGTCTGCGATGAGCGATAGCAAGAAGAGAACGACCAGCCCGGCCGTGCAAGTGTCGTTCGGAAGAGCGGCGACGCAAAAGTGTCGGAGGTGAAGTGTCCACTACAGCTGTGATTTTTCAACTCGTGGCACGCCGCTTCCTTCGGTGTTTCTGAGATCTTGGAGCAAACTGGGAGTTTCCTACTGTTGAAACGTATTGAAGATGTATCAGTCTTGTTCAACTTCAACAAGCAAGTTCGCACGTACACGATGCGACAGAAACGGGATATTACGCAATAAAGGAGCACTAGAAATTGTTAGAGCCAACATTCGAAATGAATAGACAGGCAGTCCTTTATGATATTGACAACTCTTCCTTAGCGATAAATCCAACCTGTGGAAGTTTTGGTGCTGGGGCTTAATGCGTTCCATCTCAACTCGGGTAAACCCCGGGTCTTACTTACCTAGCTCCTCGGGCCACTTCTCCCCGACCCTCGACCAAGCGGGAAGGCACCTAGCTACCCTACCTGCCTCAGTACCTCCCACCTGAGCACGGTAGGACGCGACTGCATCTCGACTACTCCAGACGAGACTCTCGTACTCTGCACTTATTCTCCTAAAAACCCTCTTTACAACCGACTTCAAACCATTTTCTCTATCTTGGCACCAAAACTTGCTATCAACTTCATGATTACACGAGCATTGACATAATCATCCAGTGCGGTCGCATTCAATCGCAAAAGAATCACCCACCTACGGACGAAATCGCCGATCAGCCTCGAAAATGGCGACCCCGACACAAATGAAGCATGCGGCCTCGCAACAAGGCAGGACGCCTTCACAACTGGCTGCAGCGACCCCGCCTGTATCGACTCCTTTCTCGCAAGCCCACGCCGCCTTCTCCCCTCGGGGCCCTCGATCCTCGCCCCAACAATTCAAGAAATCGCCTGCGACCTCGAGCACACTCATGGGCCATCCCGCCAACGGCGCGTTGAATTTCGACAGTCCTTCTGCCGCGGCGGCTATGGGTGCTCTTGGAATAAGCGGTGGATTGGACATAGGATTGGACCATGTCGGCGTCGGCGCGTTCGGCGGCTTGGGCGCACTCGGAAGCGAGGACGACAAGATTAAGAGGCTCGACGCGGTTATTGAGATACTCGGAGTGAGTCTAGGGCAATCGCGTACTGTTGCAACGATGTACTGACTGCGTCATTCTGCAGAAAGCGAAAGGACGTGTTAGTGAAGCTGGCCTCGAGCGCCTGACGCTCCGGACAGGTCTTACGAGCATCTGGGACGACCACCGGTCGCCGGACGGCAGGAAGATGAAGATGCTAGTCATCGCCGGTCAGGCTTTGACTGTGGACATCGTCTTGAACAACAACATTGTGGAGAATGTCTCCTTGAGCTTCCCGGATTCGGCTCCCATCGTCACGAGGCATAAGGACCTTGCGTCGAAGATTCTACTCCGGGACCTGCAGCTCCGTCCCGACCAGAGCCCTCTCACCAAGACTCTGGACAAGTTCTCTGCCAATCTGGAGCGCTTGGCGGTTCTTGACAAGCTCAGCGTTATTCCTGGGCTGGATTGCCAAGAGGCTCTGGCCGGCATTTTTGAGAGTCTCGAGAGACTTTACAAGTGGGAATTATCAAAGCTGCGAGAGGATGCAGCGATGGGCGGAAGGCCCGATCGATTCCTGGAGACAACCGTTATGTGCACCAAGAGCGGCCGTCCGAGAATGCACGCGAGAGATATGGTGGGCCTCAGCATCGAGTATTGGACGGAAAGAAGACATGTCGTGCCCAAGACGCCAGACACGGTGCGATACTGCGAGAAGAATGAGAAAGTCTGGTCCATTCTCCTAGGCTGCAAGGCCCTCGATGGTGAGATGTTCCAGCCTGTCCGTATGTCGGTGAACTGGATCTCTCAAAAGGTCGTCGCCGAGCCTGGGCCTGATGACATTCTTGCTGGCGCATCGGGTATCGACTGGCAGGAACCGGAAGCTACAAACCTTCCACAGACCGACGACACCAAAGACAAGGGCGTTGATGTCGTACACCCGGATGGCACAACGCACAAGCTCCCGAACGTCAAGTTTGTTGCAATGCTCACACCGTCAGTAATCGTACCACAATCGGTGTGGAACACACTGCACAGTCTCACAGGCGCCGCGGCTCCGCCCATGTTACTGCCCAGCTATACGTTCGACAGTATCTCTTTCCCGATACCTGATGGAAGCAACCACGACGCAAGCGAGCTTCGAGTCATCTCATGCAAGAGAGCTGTCGAGGTCCCGAGCGACGGAACCTTGGTGACGCGGAAGCACAAAAATACGCTGCTTATTTACAAGCCCGTTTATGGACAAACAGTCACCGAGCTCTCCTTCTCTCACCCTCGGCAGCTCGTAGCGATGCTGCCCATACTGCGCCAGTATGCTCTTATTTCGACGTTGCTAGAGAGGAGTTTTGGGTCTGATGTATCTGGCGATCCGCTGCCAAAGAAGGACGAGTCGATCGACACCGTCGAGGCAACGACGACGACAAAGGCGGAGTACGAGACGTTCATGTCCAACTCGTCAGGGACCAACGAACAAGAGCTAACCCTCGACGTGGTTCTGACTGTTCATCCGTCCGCCAGCCTCCACGTCGTCTTTCCCTTCCGCGACGCCACGGCCAACGTCGACCTGCAGATCCAGCCGAACGGTGTGGTCCACATCGTATCACAAAACATCGTTCCAGATGCTGGCGAGGACGTGCCTGCGGCGGAAAAGGGCAAGCACAAGCAGCTTACGCCTCAGGATCTGGGCAAGCTTCTCGAGGTGATGGAAGACCTCTGCTCCTGGGCGGAATGGATCCGTAAAAACCTCTCGTGAGCTATCTGACGAGAGTGCGACGGGGTCGGTAGACGAGCATGATGTGTGGATATTTTGTTTGGTTCTACATTGGTTGCTGTTTTTTCTTCTTTCGTATAATTGATACCCAGCAAGATGTCTCTTTGGACAGGCGTAGCATTCAACCGGTTTCTTCCCTCGCACACACGAGAAACAGCCAGTGATACAATACAGCCTCGGAAGTTTGTGGCGTTGGGCATTCCCTTTTTCGTGAGGCGGATGGGCCGGCTCGGCTGGCTTGCGCCTACCCGACGTCAAGTGAACCCGAACAAAGGGTTCATCCTCCGAACCCATCTTGGTGGGACTTACCCTCTTAGTCGCCGCCGCTCCGTCGCGTGAACTGGGCCGAAACAAGGAAAACGGGTAACACGATGACGTTTGGTGAGCCGGTCTAGAGGGGGGTTTTACCACATGGCCGGGTTTGAGTAAGGCAAGGTAAGGTAGCTCGCGGGGCGTTGATCGACGACGACGACAAGTGCCGGAGCGGAGCGTTCAACGTCTGACGTTGAGCCGTCGCAGGTCTAAGGCGGATCGGCTGCGGCGGGAGTCACGTCAGGCGGCATGGCTTTGGTTGTGTTGGGTTGGGTTGAGGTGGTTTACCGGGCATTTGGGTAGTCGAGACCAGAGATATGTGTGTTTTTGCGTGATTTCCGCGGTGGTGGTGTAATATTGTCTTTGATGCAGAAGACATCGATAACGTGACTCGACTTGGGTTGGTTTGGGTTGGATTGATGTGCTCTACCGGGCATTTGGGCAGGTAGTTAAGACCAGAGATGGTGTTGTTTTGGTGATAGCATGCGTCGTGGTGAGATAATTGTCTCTGATGCAGAAGACCTCGAGAAGAGTGTACTTGTCTCCAAGGCAGGAAGAGACGTGTGAATCTGTGTTTTGGCAGGGCGGTGGAATCATGTTAGATCCCATGAGAACCCTCGGGAACAAGGCGAACAAGACGTGTTTTAGTCGGGTCCCCCGGTTTCAGCTCTCGATTCGGTTCCGGTTCGAAGGCACCATTGGATTTGTTAAAAAACCTGGCCCGGGAAGAACAAGACTGACCTGACCCGTGGTCATTGTCTAAGTGGCATAGTATACTAGGTACGGAAGACACGGGAAGCGGCAGTCAAACAGAACCCGGACGGAACCGGTTCGAGATGGTTGCCTCAATATTTTGTCGCAGGCGCACCTCCCCGAATCATCTGCATGATACATATGACGGATGGATATATTGAGAAAAAGAAGAAAGCTGGTTTGGGGTCTTGCGGGAGGACTTCGGGTGGTGGCCGCGGCGGGTGCGGCGACTTGAGATATTTCGTGGTTGTTTTTTTATTCACGGTTCTAGCCGGACGGACGCCAATATCGGCAATAATTCATCTTCTAATCGTCTTGAGGGATGGTGTCTTTTCTTGTTTCTTCTTGCCTCCTTCCAGTCGTGTGTGTCTGAGACGGGTTGCAGTTCGAAAAAATGTCTCTATTGTTTACTTTTCTCCCCTTTTTCTTTCTTTCTTGTGTCTTTGCATCACGGTCCGCTCCGACGTGCTGCGCAAGAGCCTTCTTTCTCCTTGTTTCGGAGACCGGGAGTCTGTGCTGTGCCTGTCTGTCATTTTTTTGGGACGGAGGGGGAGGAGCTCCAATGCGAATGCCAGGTAGGGAGGGACGATGAGCAGGAGGGGGAGGGACGAGAAACCTGGAGAGGGGGAGGGGGATGGGGGAGATCATCGAGGGGCGATTGGAATCCACCGGTATCGATAGGCGATGAGGAGGGTTTGTTTGTTGACGTTGATGAGAAAGTCAACAATGAAATAAACATCAGCCCCCAGATGGGCATTTATTAATAAGAAGAGACCCCCGTGTAATATGGGAAAGGAGGGGGGGCGATGGAGATTAGTAGGTGTTGGTCCGATTAGATACGTATGTAAGTCATTATTCGGAGCAGATGGGAGATTGATTTCTGGGGGCTGGTTTCCGCCCGGGTTTCGGGGTCGGTACCGCAGATTGGCAAAGAGGAGACTGATGATCTGAGGAGGGGCCGCCTTATCCATGACAGGATCCTCTCCTCCGCGGCATCTGGCAGGACGGCCGATCTGGTAGGTCATTCGGCGACGGAGGTGGTCTTTTCTGCGGTCGTAATTATTTTGTGCTTACACGTGCTCGTGAAAGAGGAACTCATGCATCGTATCAGAGATTTGACGGGGTGAGGACACAGGGAAAAAAGGGGTCTTTCCATTGCCTTACCTTACCTCAGGCCATCCCGTCTTTGGTCTTTTTTCGGGGTGGCTTGGATTCAATACTGGTGTATTGGTGTTACCCTGATGACAACTTTGCCTTCCATGCTTGGCCTGGGCTGCGTCGCCTTGCAGCCACTTCCCGCTCCGTCCCTTGTCTTTCCCGTCTGTGATGCGACGAGTCGTTCCCGTGTCTCTGTTCCTGTTTTTCTGTCGACGACACCTGCAATGTGGGCGGCGGCGGCGGCGACGGTGACTTACACGGGAAGAACACAAAAGGGCAAGTGGGAAAGAAAGGTCAAAGAGTGTCCGAGCTTTTTGGGGCGAGGAGGCTCGAACGGCGATCCAAGCTCCCTCGTCCCCGCCGCCGTGGGTGGGCCGAAACGGGAGCGCTGGTCTCGTCGCAAACTGGTTTTATTTTTGAAGCATGGAACCAAGCCATCGGGGAGGAGCAACAGGTGAAGGTACCGAGTGAGTACGGAGTAGCTTGTGAGGATCGGTGGATGAGGCGAGGGCTGAGTGGTGAATGGTAAATGGTGAGTGGTGAGAAACACCAGTTCCTTTTTTAGAGGAAACCTAACAAGCCGCTGCCGCGCACCAAGGTGTTAGACCATTCAGACCTTTCCTGATCTTCCAACAACTCCAAGGCTGCATAGGCAGAGTTGGCAGAGGAAAGAGATTTGAGGGCGCGGGGATGAGGTTCCTGGTGTCCTAGACTCCTAGGACACGAGACGGACTGGTTTGTCTGGCACTGGCGGCTTTCTGGAAGCCAAGCGGGAAGTGGCATCACCTGGATCGTCGGGGAGCTTCAACACAATGGGTAGGTCGCAGCCTTCCCCCAGATTGACGGCAGAAGCGAGATAACGCGGCGGTCGCAAGCATGAAGACGTAATATCGGGCGCAATTAGTCGCGGACCCTGTCATTCCTTCTCTCTCACTGAGAGATGAAGCTGCGAGAGCGTTTGTGTGGAGTGACGGAGACGAGGACGGGAGAGTGAGAGTGAGACGGATGGCAAAAGTGACCGATGTGCGTAATAATGGCAGGGTCCGGGTATCTGAGAGGTACTCCGTAGGGCGCTGGGAGTGGTGAGGCAAGGTTGGTGGTTGTTGGCGGTGGATGGTGATGACGGTGACGGTGACGGTGACTTCAGCATAGAGAAAAAAGCAAAGGTACTTGTCGGGTTGGTGGTGAGGTGCAGGCGGGTGAAAGTATTGTTGACAAAAGACAAAACAAAAACACAAGATTTGTTTTGTTTTGGCCGGATGTGGCTTTTCGCGTTTGTTTAGTGGCCTGGCTCCATCGTCCATGGATCATCCGTCTTGCTATTTTGATGATGAGCCCACCTTTTGCCGCTGCCCGACAGTCGCAATTGTGGCCATCTTGCGGAGACAGATAATGGCGATGATGATGAGGTGCATTTTGGGCACGCAGAGTGTAAGAGTCAGAGAGGATTTGAGATGGGAGAGTCTTGCTGCGTCTGGATGGAGCGTCGAGCGGACAAGTGGCAGTCGAATCGTGGCTTTGAGACCAGGGCCAGTTGACAGTGCAGCCAACTACTGCAGTGTGCGAGTGACTGATCAAGGCACACGGGCTCCAGACGGCGGGGAGATAGATGCCAGCGAATGTGAGGAGGAGGAGGAGGAGGAGGGGCACATGTGCATTTTCCCTCCCGGTCCACCTCAGGTGCTCAGGTCAGTGTTGAGAAGGGCCTTGATGAACATTGAAAAGTGGAAAGTAAGCCTCGCCTGTCGTCTGGTGTTGAGTGGCACTTGGCGCTGCTGCAAGTCGAGACGCACAGAACAGGCACGCCAGCTGAAGTTTCTCGTGTGCTGTGAGTGTCTGTGTTTTGGTCGACTCGAGGTGAAGTGCGGCCTTGCTGCATGAGACTTCAGACGCGTGGGCGGGACCCTGCAGGCAGAGGGCAGATTGGACCAATGAACGATGCTGGCAGAGGTCCGAAGAGGCATCCCCCTGGGTTGTGTCCGGGGTCGCCCCTGGCCTGTTTGGATGCCAGACCGTTGGGTTCGAGGATGTTAGTTGTGAGTGATGTCAGGGCTGCCGGCGACATTGTTGATTGATTTCTGATAGTGAAGGACAAACGAACAACAAGGAAGGAAGTCGGTTCCCGAACACCTGCGACACCCGCGACACCTGCGAAATAAGACATTTTTCGAGCCTCGGGATTCTTCATATGAGACGTCTGCATGTCTGAACCCCGGTGATAAAATTTGTTTTTCTCCAAATGCGGTACCTGCAGCTGCGACATGGCCTCTTTTTACTTTCCAACCAGGGAAGCCACCACCAGCAAGGTCGGCGCCGGTCTGGTCTTTCCTTAGCAGAAGCGGGAACGCCCCCACTTGATCTTGACGCGCCTGTCACGTGAAATACACCACGCTTTCCCTCTTTTGGAAGTCGTGTAAACACAACACGCCACGCGCGCCATCGCGAAAACACTGTCGACTTGTGAAGCAGCAGCTTCCATAATCCACACTCTTTCTCTCCGTTCCAAAACTGGCCACTCAGCTTCTTCCCTCGCCTTCCAATGGCTCCATTTTGACTGCATTCTCCCCTCCCCGGTTTGGTCTTTTGCTGCCCATCTACACAAGCCTATCCCCTCTGATCCCATCTTTCCCACCCAAATTGCCAAAGTCCAGAGGCCCCGAGCCCGCACCACCCACTTTCTGGCGCGCAACTTCACTTGTACTTGCGCATCCGCACCCGCTCCCGCACCCAACCACCCACCCACTACACACTACACACACAACCCGACGCACACACTCATACTCATACGCGCATCCTTCCCTCCTCCTCCTCCTACTCCTCCTCTTTGCGCCTGCCTCCATCATACACGTCTCTTGCTCCTCTTTTGGGTCAGTCTGCGTTTTGCGTGTTGCCTTGTCCTTGCATCTACAGCCTTCCAAGTTTCTGGCCCCCTCCAAACCGCAAGAGGGAACCTTGCCACCCAACTTACAGGCTTACCAACATCACAACACACCCGACACGACAGAAAGGGTCCCTTCTTCCTCCTCTCTTGCAATGACTTGATCGAAGTCGCCTGCCGATCACCAAGTCGCGACACACAAGGGGAATGAAGATGCGAAGCAAGACGCATGCCTAAACGTTCCTAGACCTTAGCGCCATGCAGTAGATGCACTTGCGCTCCCGTCCCGTCCCTTCTTTCTGTCCTCGTCCCTCCTCCTACTCCTACTACTGCCTACTGCCTGGGCCTTCCCTCCTTTTTTCCCTTCCCCTTCAGCTTCTTTCTGCAACACCGCGTCCTACTAGCATCACACCAAGAAAGAGGGCGCTCTTTCCGCCTATCCAGGCCTCATCGCCTTGTCCACGTGTAACCAGTCCCAGCCTGGGACTCCATCGCTCTCGTCCTATCAACACCAACCTGGGGACAGAGCCCCAAAACATCCACGATACCTTACACAACCGATACGCACTCGCGCGCCTCAGGAAGCTGCGCCCTCAGTAGTCAGCATCCCTCCGGATCTCGTCATCGTATAGGCCAACACCAACAACACCCCGCGCCATACCTTCGACACGACATATCTCCATCCCGCCGACGAATCCTACCTTGACCTACCACCTACTCGGCAGCTAGCGAAGAAAACAGTATACCGAGACGACGAACACCAGCGAAAGATTGCTTTGTCCCCAAAGATTGATTCATAGCTTGCTTGCTGGGACTGCAACCTACCCAGCCCTTTTGTATTGGAACAACAGCGAACCGAAGAAAGAAAGCCGAGCGAACCACCATCACAAAGAACGCCATCCAACCATCATGTCGTTCTCAAACAGCAGCGGAGGAACACTCACTGTTCCCAGCCCGACACACGTCCACCATGTCGATGTGCTCGCTTCCTCTGTGAGGGGCCTGAGAAGGTCTCTTTCAAGATCACCCTCAAAGTTCAGCCTGGCGCGCACAAATTCTTTGGAGAGCACCGACAGCTCTCACAGCGGATCCCACACTCCCATCCAGCAGCAATCGCCATGCCGACGATACACACCAACACCAACACCACCTAGCAGCAGTGGTAGCAACAGCGGCATCACTGGCCTCCAGGACCAGCAACCCCTCAGCTTTACCCCGGCAGGCCTCCCTCCTTCTATGTTGACATCTACAACACCCTTGAGCTCTCCTCCGAACCTCGGTACGCCATTCCGCCCCAGCGTCCGTCTATCTCTCCGATCCGCAAAGTCCTCCAAGGTGACTGGCAGTCCTTCGAGACCAATCACTCGCCTTCGCACTTCGCCTAAATCACCCCTCAAGCGCGCGCTCAACTCTGCCTCGGATTCCGGAAATTCAACTCCCTCTTGTCCATCATCCGCTTCAAGTTCGGAGAGCCCTGGTCAGGAAAACAGCAACAACCAGGTCAGCCCGCTCTCACGATCGAATCTGCACAAGTCATCGCGCCACAGTTTCCATCTCGACGGAACCGGCCACGCTCAACAGACGAGCATTTTCAGGTCGATCGAAGGTCAGGGCGAGTCGCAGGCAGTACCAGGCTCCGGCGCCCTGAAGCGCAGCGACGCCATCATGAATCTCGACCAGGCTTCGCTCGGCAGCCCTGTGGCTAAGCGGCGCAGCTTGCACGGAATCTCAAGTTTTGGCCAGAACACATCTGATTTCAACATCTTCGACAGCAACGCAAACAACAACAGCAGCACCAGTAGCAGCAACACCGGCACACCGGGCAAGACCGACATCCACGACGAAGCCGGCCGCGAGTACGAGCTTTTTGGATCGGGCGGCGCGTCCCACCGAGAGCCCCTCCCTTCACCAACCCCGCCTCCCCAGGCCCCTCGGAGAACCGGTTCGCTAAGGAAGTCGACCCTTCAGCAGAGGCAGCATGACAGGACCTCATGGGGACGTCGATCTGGTGCGAACCATCTGGCTCAGATGAGCGGCGATTTTTCGACACCCAACCCCAAAAATCGTCCGCGTCTGTCGATGGATCAGTTTCTCCCGCCCCAGGCTCCTCGCGACAGCCCCTTCACGTCGGCCCCGCCTCTGCCTAACCCCTCTGCTCATCCTATTGAGCGCCAATCTCATCAGCCTCACCCGCTGTCCAAGACCCTGGTGACTTCGACTTCTGGCAACAGCTTGGAGGAGCAGAACAACAGCATGCCTCCTCCCAACGTTTTTGAGAGGCCTCGAGCCCCCATCAACTTCGCCAAGTCGATGCCTTATGGCTCATCCCGACCGTCGTTCATGCAGGAGGACAATGAGAACGTCACCCCTTTCAAGGCAGCTAAGCCTTGGGCCGGAGCCTTCATGTCCACGGGTCTCGTCTCCAAGGTCAACCGCAACCCTGAGGAGCTGGACAACAAGCTTACCATGCCCGACACCCCGTGCAAAAAGCCCACCAGCGGCTTCGCTACCTTCCCGCCGCCCCCTGGCAGCGTGATGAAGAAGAGCAACCGCTACTCCTTCGGTGGCGTCCCGTCAACCCCCTTCAACGCCCCCGGAGCGCCATCCCGCAGCTCTTTCGGCAACCCGGGCAAGGGCCTCGGTATCTTCCAGCGCATGGGATCGCGCCATGCTCGACGCGGCAGCGTATTGAGCTCGGAAGAGGATAAGAAATTCTCCCTTGACACAAACTTCAACGTCGATCTGGGAGCTGGAACTGATGCCCCTCCGACACCCACCAAGCAGGGTCTTACCCCTAGCTTGAGCAACCTGAGTGAACAGAGCATTGAGAGCCCCAGTGCTAAGAGATCGCTTCCGATGTCCGCCCTTGGGCCGATGATCTCAAGAGAATCTACCGGTGAGTGTACTTCACAGGAACAGTCGAAAGGCCAGAGCGTCAGCGGTCCGTTACAAAGCTCCCCGCTGAGCCGTACTGCTGGCATTGGCTCTCCGAACTGCAGACTGTCTCCTACTTCGCGTCTTTCATTGCCGTCGTTTGGACGTTCGAGATCCGATCGGGGCTTCAATGCACCCTCACCTTTGCGGACTCGATTCTGTCCCTCGACGTTCGAGCCCCAGAAAGAATCGTTGGCTAAGATTACCTCTCACGATACAGCTAGCCCAGTTGAACAGCGCTCACCCCGAACCCCGTCGACTCACATGGTCATCCCCGACGCCAGCTGCCTTTCTATTTCTAACCCAGCTGAGTCGAGGAATGTGGCTGCCCCGTCGACCCCCTCTGGTCGGGATTCTTTCCAGAGCACCACAAGTCAGCTCATGACCCCTGTCAACGTACGTGGCGGTGCTGATGTCGACGACTCACTCTACTCCCGCTTTGATAAGGTCGAGATGGTTGGTAAGGGCGAGTTCTCCTCCGTCTACCGCGTGGTCAAGTCTGGCTACTCTCGCGCCTCATTCCTCTCCGTCTTTAGTGGAACCCCGACGAAGAACCCTCGCGAGAGCCCCGAGCCTGATAGAATCTACGCCGTGAAGAAGGCTCGCCGTCCGTTCACGGGACCCAAGGACCGCCTGGCGAAGCTTAGAGAAGTTCACGCTCTCCAGGCCTTGACACACGCAGACCATGTGGTGCACTATGTCGACAGCTGGGAGGCCAACCAGTACCTGTACATCCAGACGGAGTACTGCGACGAGGGTACCTTGGACAAGTTCCTGAGCAATGTTGGCCGCAAGGGCCGATTGGATGATTTCCGTATCTGGAAGGTCATCCACGACATTGGCTTGGTGAGTGAAGTTGAGACCGATCACACTAGTGACATGACTAACATTTCAGCAGGGTCTGCAAAGCATTCACGAAGCTGGTTTCATTCACCTTGACTTGAAGCCGGCAAACATCCTCATCACCTTCGAGGGCATCCTCAAGATTGGTGACTTTGGCTTGGCCACCGAATGGCCTGCCGCCAAGGGCGTTGATGCGGAGGGAGACAGAGAGTACATCGGTCCTGAAATTCTCCGTGGCGACTTCAACAAGCCCGCCGACATCTTCTCCCTCGGTCTCATCACCATTGAGATGGCTGCGAACGTGGTCCTTCCCGACAACGGCCCAACCTGGGTCGCACTCCGTTCCGGTGATCTCTCCGAAGTCCCTAGCCTGACCTTCAGCGCCACCACTACGACTAGTGCTCAGCGGGATGCAGCTGGAGTGCCGACCATGCAGTCTCTTGATGACCCTCTCCTGGGCCAAACAAGCGCCCCGGATATCAGCCTGCACTCTGGATTCGCTCCTACCAGGGTCAATGTCGTTATGGACGATCAGAGCAGCCCCTTCATCACACGTAAGCGCACTGAGTTGAGGTCTCCTCCTGATTTCATGAGCGACCCCTTCCACCCGAGTTCCCTCGACCAGATTGTGCGGTGGATGATCAGGCCCGAGCCCAGCGAGCGACCTACTATTCAGCAACTGCTGTCGACTCCTGCGATGACCTGGGTCGCCGAACGTCGCAGATCAGCTGCGACAGTCTTCGAAGGCGTATGGGGACCTAGCGAGTCAACCGCACTTCCTACGTTGATCGACGAAGCCCTCATCGACGAGGCCGTTGTCGACGAAGATACCGAAATGATGGACGTCTGAGCACGTCTACTTATATACCATGCCGCACCGACGGCGACATTTGCTCGCACCTCTTGACAACAGCAGAGCGTGCAGAGATTGGCGGAATGTCTGGATTGCACGATTCTGGCTGGATTGCCGTTGGAGTGGATACGGCGAAACCGAGTTGGAATCATGAACGATGGCGTTGGAAGTTGAGAAGGTCTCTCACCATCTTTGACGGCCATTGCGGAGTACCTTGATGCAGCGGCATTCGACTTACGACATCACGATGCTACGGTTCAGCCTTACTATCAGTTCAGTAAGGCCTACTGCGGATATTGCGTTTTGCGTCTTTCCCGATTGCTAGCGCAGCGACATATCACGATACGAACCATACGGTCTCGATCAACAATCCTTTTAACAGCGTTCTCGACATACCCTATCGATCGATATTGCTTTCAAAGCATGACCAACGAATTGTGTTTTGAAAAAGAGCAATGACTGTCTACGGCTTGGGAGCATCGCTCATCACACTGTTGAGCATTTCTTCTGTTCAGCTCCAGCCGATGAAAGACTTTCGTGTATAGACTAGATCTGGATTCTTTCGAGAAGTGCCTGAGGCGGCACCGGCTCCTCAACAAACTTGGCGTCGAGGACGAAAACAAAAACGGAAACCAGGAAAAGGTTTTTTTCTTCCTTAGAGGCTTGAGAGACTAGGAATGTCTCTGGGCGAAAAGGCATTATGCGGCGATGACGGTCACAGGTTTTGTCATGAATACCCGGGGTCTTCGAGATCACACTGCATTGTACGCACTACACCAAAATCATGTATATATGGGGTAATCCTGTCAGAGTATCGGCTGGCGATCGGCGAGCGGAGGAAACGGGCAAAAGGGCCTTGCTTGTTTGGGCTGCCCTGGGTTATGGGTGTCGGTTTTTTTTCTCTCTTTTTTCTTCTTCGCTTCTCTCTACTTGTTTTTTTTTTCTCTCTGTGAGAATACTGCATGGTGAAACCGTATCAAGCGGCTCACCCAAAGATCAGATAGATCATCTCCTGGCCAGACTGCGCCTATTCCCTTTGTCTTCACCTGAGGGGTTACGATCTCTTGGGCTCATGAATTCATGACGAAATGGCATGATAGTTATGAACTTTACATTACAAACTTTTGCGTTCCCCTGACGAGTGACTTGTTTGTATGCTTTCCCTCTCTCATTCTCGTGCCGATATTGACGATGCGCTTGGTCTGTCTCTGTCGGTCTAAAAGAGCTCGAGCAGTTTACACGACTCTGTGCTCACAATTCTCATCAAGTAATACTAGCTAGCACTAACTCCGTGCCGGAGCTCAATGAAACAAGCAGATACAAATAGTAGCAGAACTGGTATTGGCGGGCTCGAACTCGTGCAGATGTTAGTCAATATCAGCATCTGAGAACTGTCTCGAGCAAAGCTCTCCGTGTTGGGAAAAGCTGGTCACGAATGCGAATGCGAATTCAGGAATACGATGGGTGGCATGATGGGTAATTCGTCGTCATTCGTAGGAGTCCTCCCTAATCGGAGAAGCTCGTATCAGATGTTGTTCCACCTCCCTCCCTTGTAACGCAACGCAACGCCGAAAGTCCTGTACCCTTCTCCCACCCGGATGCCGGCGTCGTTGTGGAATGGAAGCCATCTCCAAAACATGCTCAGGTAGACTGAGGTTATGACGCCTTGGGTTGGTATGAGGCCAAAGGCGCCATCATTTCTCGGTGCCTTTTTCCGATTCTCTATTTCCCTCACTCTTTTCACACCCTGGAAGTGTTGGCGGAGGCCGTCGACGTGGTCTTGGTCTTCCTCCGCGAGGGCTGGTAGACGTCGTTGAAGTTCATGGCGACGCCGAGGAAGCGCATGTCGACGTCGGGCTGGTAGGCGAGGTCGCCGAGGAGGATCTGGAGGCGGGAGCGGAAGGTGGCGCCGAGCTGGCGCAGGCGGTCCTGGAGGACGGGGAACTCGGAGGCGACGGCGGGGTTATCGTCGTCGGCGGCGTCGCCGGGGCCCGGGGTGGAGGCCTTCTTCTGGTGGCCGCGCGGGGCGCGGGTGGAGATGCGCATGACGTCGGCCTCCTGACGTCTAGTAAAGTCGGAGACGCTCCAGCTGTAGAGGCCGTCGACCGAGTCTCGGTAGCTGAGCATCGCGCGCAGGAGGTCGCCCAGCTGGGCGAGGTAGGAGGTGCGGTCGTCCTCGCCGGTGGCGGTCTCGGCGTGGCGGACGCTGCGGCGGGCGCCGAGGAGGCCCTTGTGGGTGATGTCGTTGAGGTAGCGGGTGTGCGCCTTGATGAGGTCGTCGAGGGTGCAGCCCTCGCGGTGGATGCGCTTCTGGAGCTCGTTCCAGGAGGACTCGATGACTTCGAAGAGGATGTAGTACTGGAGCTGGCCGATGAAGTGTATCATCTCTGCGAGGATGCCACGGGTGGACTTCCAGGTCTGAACCACGACAGGATCCGAGTTTTGCAGCACCCCGCGGGAGCCTGTCATACACTTGCGCCAGGTGGAGGCAAGGGCGAACTCGACGCGCTTGATGCGCCAGAGAAAGTTGAAGACTTTGAGGTACTGGCGGTTGCCCCAGTCGGTTACGACCACGTCTACCGGGGCGTCAACCTTGTACTCGAGCGTGAAGCAGTCCCAGCCGATATCGCCATGAGACAGCTGAAGCATGCGAGCGTCGAGCCGGCGGAGGACTTCGGGCGAGTCGTATTGCGCATTCGACCCGCGAATAGCGTGTTCGAGCTGGGCTGTGAGTGTGTGCCGGTACTGCGCGCCTGCTGGGCGGTCGAGGTTCGCGGCCAGAGATTCCATGAGTAAGGCAATGAAATCTCCTTGCCCAAGAAGAATGTAGTTTTTGAGAGCCTGTAGATGGTCGAAGAGGTGAAACTTATTGGCCATCAAGTCGATGAGACGCTTCATCGTGGTCTTGTAGGCCTCATCAATCCATGCCTCGAGCGTAGCAGTGTCGCCGTAGCGTAGCTCCTTTGAAGCCGCCTTGGAGTAGTCCTCGACCCATTGCGAGTCGCCGCAACTATGCCTGATAAAGTTCAGGGACTTGCCGATGAGAAACACTTTTTGAGCAAAGTCTTGGGTGATGATGCTCGGTATCATGTCCTTGTCGATCTCGTACTTGTCTTCCCAAACGCTGCTGCCGCCGGTCTTGGGCTCGTCCGTCTGTTGTTGTTCCTTGACAAAGAACTCGCAGTACGGGTCGAGAAGCTCCCCGTCATATATCCACCGGCGCAAGATGTCATAAAACGGGCGCGTCACATGGACTAACAGACGCTCGGCGAAAGCTGCAACCATGGGGTCGCCATGTGATGAGGAGAAGCTGTGGATGAGGGAGATGAGCTGCCCGCCTCGCTTGCTCTCCGATTCTTCAGCGATGAGGCTCATGAGCCTCAGGCCCATGGTGGCCTCGCGGGTCCATACCACACATCGTTTCAGGGTAACTCCTGCCTTGCCTATGCCACCTCTAGGCGCGGATGTGTCCAATGAAGATAACGCCCTACGAATCTGGCCCTCAAGGGTCGCAACTAGGCTCAAGTACGACCGCAGCTCACCGCCTATGGCTGCGCGGAGACTTTGCCGGAGCAGCCCTTGCGCTGGCGACTTGACAAAGGTGTCCAATCGTCGGTATAATAGGGAAGGCTCAGCCAATGTGTGTAGCAAAGAGATGATGGGTGATGGTAACGTCGGGGGTAATATGACAGTGTCTGGTTTTGAGAGCGGCAACGTGGTTGATGACAGTCCCTGGAGCGTGAAAGGCAGATCCCTTAGCAGGACTGTTTCTGAGGGTTCGATCTCGGTGTAGTTGTCGGCTAGGAGCGTCGACTTTAACGCGACCTGCCTCTTGTTCGCCTCGGCCTCCTCCGCTTCCTTTTCCTCTAGTTTCTTTTCGTCGACTGATTTCTTCGGAGCGTGCTTCGGGGGGAACTTCTTTAGTCCTTCGGGCGCAAAAGCGTCGTTGAATTGTTCTTCGTCTCTTGAAAGCGGTGTGGCCGTTTTTGAGGGCTGCTCTTCTTCTTGTTTCCTGGAGGCACCGCGCGACGCTTGCGAAGGAGGCTTCGGCGGGGGAAGCGGTAGTGGCTCGTCGGGATCTGGGGAGTCGGCGAGTTGATAGAGTAGGTACAGAATAGCCCATTTCTGCCCGAGGACTGGCAGAGACAGAAGACGCGTGTAGAGATTCGAAAAGCGCAGGGCTTGGCTGGGGTTGCTCTGAATGAGCTTGCGCTTGATCAGATCGGAGGCATGGTTGACGTCTGAGGAAATGGCGGGGGACGCGGGGCTGCGAGATGGTGTCTGTCAGCCAGAGCGAAACAAGTATGTGAGATAGGAGTCCTTGTATGGAGCGATTCTTACCCGTCGAGAATGCTTTTTACCAGGTCGAAGCAATTGTCGTGTCTTTCCTGGGCGGCGGCTTCGTCTTCGTGGGGGTCGTTGGGTACCAGGTGGGTGATTAGGCTGTCGACGGCGCCGGCTATACGATGCTCGCGGTTGGCTGACATGATGGCATTGCCAGAGCTGACAACCTCAACAACCGACGAGAGTCGCGAGGCTCAAGGCGGAGGGCGGAATGACGAGGATGCGGAAGTATAGGTGAAAGAGGGGCCCTCGTCTTCGTCGTCGTCGTGGATCGCATGTATTCTGGTGTTGTATTTCCAGCAATGAGCTGCGCAGCGACGCGCTGAACGCGACTTCACAGTGTTGCCAGTCCTGGTTGCAAGCAGCTCCAGGGGTTGGGATGCGAGTGGTCAAGGCGCCGCTAAAAGTATGCAATACCCTTGCTACCACCAAAAAACTACACCTATCGCGGTACTGGATACCTTGAGGACTAGGCTCGGTCCTCCCCTGCGTTTGTCGTCAGACAGTCGGGTTGCCCAAAATTTCCTACGACAAAGCAGCACAGCACAGCGTACCTCAATCGCATCTTCCTCCACTGGACGAGTCGGACCCGACCAACCTCATTCCCACCTTTGCCATCGCGCCAACACCCCCAGCATGGTCCGTTCATCAAGATAATACCGGATTCGCGATCGCATTTTCTCGGCCTTTCGATTCATGCTACTCATGATCACATTTTCCCCCTCGCGCCGAGTCCTGCCCGCCGCCGTTGCTGCCGCACGCGACTGTCGCTCTACTCCACTAATACGCCCGACTCCGACACCGACGACGTGATCTGCCCGTCTGGCATCCGCATCCCGTCGCAATGCCCGACATCGACCCCGCGGCCTTGAGCAGCCGCCCATCCGTCAACCTCTCAACCCCGACATTATCCACAAAGTCCATCACCGTACAGCCTCCTGGCTCCCTCAAAACCAAAGCTAGCCAAATCATCCCGGCTCGCATTGACCTTGAGCCGCTTTATGCCGCCTTGAAGCAGGCCATTGGCTTAGAAGCATGGGTCGTATATAAGGAGTCAACAACAGAGTTCCTCATCGGTACGCACCCTCAGAGACTGGCGCATCAAAATCAGAAACACTGACAGTTGCTCGCAGGTCGTTTGAATCAAACCGAATACTCAGAACGAATCGATCCCATCCTCGCGTCCCCCAATGGCGAAAAGGAGCACCTACATAACCAGCTTATTGCTGCTATATATGGCAATGTTACAAGAGAGATGCCCGATCAGGGGCTGGCCCCTTGGGTCAGCGCCAACGACAAGCCCACTGCACCCGTTGGCAGTAAGCCTGTGTCTGGCGATGCTGCTGAGCGCCGACTCAAGGGCGATGTTATGCAACTTCCCAGCAAAGACCGTCGGCGCATCAAGGACCTAGCGTCCAACGATGTCAGTCTTACTCTATCTCCGCCTTCAACAATGCCTTCGCTAACACGCGAGTTGCAGTTCGATCCCAACGAGAATTTAGCGAATGTCTTCTTGGACAACCATAGACGGCAGCCCAAGACAGCCGAAGTGCAAGTGCCACCTAGCGCTGGGGGCCTTAATGGTATTAACAAGATGAGTATGTGCATATACGTCTCGTTTGAACTGCCGACGCTAACTGAAATGTCAGATTTCGATCTCGAAATCCGCAAGCGCTTCGCCCAACCCCTGGCTGTCGAGTCAGGCGAATTCCCCGACGCCCCCTTGATCGAAGGCAGGATGCTACCGTTCTGCTATGAGGCCGGACTTACGAGCGGACACGTCTCAGACGCGGCGCACTTCATGTCGGTCGCCACGGAAACATTTATAAAGGAATCACTGGCTGCTATATTCTCAAAAACGCGGAGCAATGGGCCCGGAGAGGGCGGCACAGCCGGCTTCGGTGCTGGTACGAACTGGATTCAGACGCACAAGTACCGCCGCCAGCTATCGAAAGAAGAAGACTCGGCTTTGCGAGGCGAGATGACCCGCGACAAAAGCGGTCTGTTGCCAATCGAGGCGAAAGCTGCCAGTGAACGGGGGCCCCTGGGCATGGCTGACGTCCGAATTGCCTTGGAGATGGCGGACAGCGGTCTAGCTCAATTCCCCATCATCAACACGGCAATCTCGTATGGCTATCGGGAAGGGGAGCTTGAAAACTGGCACGATTACACATGGCTTCCGGGCACGGAGGGGTTGGCCAATGGCAAAATCGAAGGCAACACCGACATCCGCCCTGCCCCTCCGCAGCAACTACCGAACGGACATGTTGACGCCATGGAGATTGACTCAGAGCCTTGGTGGGAAGGCGCCGATTCTCAAGATATGGGTGCCTTGGATTCAGTTCTTGATTCCTGTCTGGCCGTCGGATCTTAGTACGGACCGGGGCCAAAGGTGACTCCATGGACCACTCAGCGGGAGAAACTCTACACAAAGCGTTTCATGCGGGCCATGCAGCCGGTAAAAAAAGACTGGGCGCCCATATGGGGTTGGGACAAACTGCAGCCTGGAGAAAAACCTCGACGTGCCATTGGGTTCAAACGCAAGAGGAGTGATGCCTTCGAAGTCAAACCGCATCAGTACAGGCATCTGGCAAAACGTCGTTAATACCGGCCTCATTTTGCATTTTTTTAACTGCCTAAGCCGGCTGTCTCTCTTGTCATTTTTCATTCATCATTCTGGATACGGGGAGGCGGAGTTGCAGTCTTGACATTGACACACCGGGAGGCGTTCACGGATATTTAGCGAAGGAAGGGTTCTGTACAGTAAGGACGATACCCGGTTTGCTCAGGCATGTGAGCCTCTCAAGTATAGGAAGGCGGCGAACAGGGTTGGAACAGTGAGCGAGACTTAGAAGACGACTTATGTAACACGTAAAGTTATTCTCTCGGATGTGAGTAGCCCTGCTGTGCGTTGAACTGATATAAACTTTGAAGCAATGTATACCGTCCTGACCGGCGCCTCAACACGTGTCAGATCTGATAAGTACGAGTCGTTGGCGCGGAAGGCCTCCGTCTAACTAAAGCTTGGCCACCGGCTCATCTCCCACCTCCTTCTTTGCCTGTTCTCTAAGGACCTTTCGCAGGATCTTCCCGGACTGTATTCGGTGTTAGTACTCATACGCTGATGAGAAATCCAGATGGAAAGAAGCAAAACTTACTGGGTTCTTGGGGATCACGTCCGTGAATGCCACTCCGCCCCTGAGGCGCTTGTGTTTTGAGACCCTCTCCTCCAGCCACTTCGCGATTTCCTCACCAGTTGCGTTGGTGCCCGGCGTCCGGACGATGTACGCCCGAGGGAACTCCTCGCCGTTGATGGTGACGCCGATGACGGCGACATCAGCGACGTCCGGGCGCTCGAGGAGCAGAGCTTCAAGCTCGGCGGGGGCAACCTGGTTCCCCTTGACCTTGATGAGCTCCTTCTTACGGTCGACGATGTAGAAGAGCCCGCCGGTCTCCAGCTTGTCGACGTACGCGATGTCTCCGGTGCGAAGCCAGCGGTTGCCCTCCGATTCCGTGACAATCGTCTCCGCGGTCGCCTTGGGGTTGCGCCAGTACCCGCGCATCACCGTCGGTCCCGTAACCAAGAGCTCGCCGGGCACCTTGGGTTCGGTGATCTCCTTGCCGCTCTCGTCCACCAGCTTCGCCATGTAGTTGGGCATCAGCTCGCCGACCGACGAACTGCGCTCGAGACGCGAGGGGTCCCACGTCATGGCTGTACAGGTGACCTCTGTCATGCCCCAGCCCTGGCGGACGATGAGGTCGGGCTTCTTCAGCAGCTGCTCCGCCTGTCTCGCCACGTCCGGGGCCAAGGGCGCGGCGCCGGAGCCGACGGATTCAAGACTGCTCAGGTCGAACTTGGCGGTGATGGGGTGCTTGGTCAGGGCGACCAAGATGGGCGGCACGCTGACGAGCTGGTTGACGCGGTATTTTTGGATGTACGTGAGCATCTTGACGAAGTCGAACCCGGACATGATGTACACGGGGATGCCCAGCTTGGCGAAATTGGCGACGAAGTACGTCTGCGCGTAGGCGTGGTACAGCGGCAGGAAGCAGAGACCGACGGAGCGCGCGATGAAGGCTTCGTGGTCTTCCTGCAACGCGGACACACTGACGACGCCAGTCCCGTTGGCGACGTAGCTGTAGTGCGTAATCTCGACGCCCTTGGGCACGCCCGTCGTGCCGGAGCTGTAGTTCAGACAGCACGTCGTCGTCCGCGCGTCCGACGGCTCAACCCAGTCGAACTTCTCGGCCTGCGCCCTCGGGGCGATCAACTCCGTCCAGTGGCGGGCGCCGCCGCGCGCGGGCTTCTCGGGCTGAGGGGACCCCGGGACCGTGGTGTCGAAGACGAAGACGTTGCTCGCGGGCATCTGGACCTCCTTGGCGGCGTCGAGGGCCACGTCGAGGCTGCCCTCGGCGGCAACCATGTAGGTGGCGCCGCTATCCCGGAGCTGGTAGGCGAGCTCTCGGGAGACGAAGCCCGGGTTGGCGCCGGTGAAGATGCCGCCGGCCATGAGGACGCCGATGAAGAGGACGGGGAAGAAGAGGTTGTTGCCGGAAAAGAGGAGGACGCGGTCGCCGGGCTTGAGGCCGGCCTTTTGCAGGCCGATGGCGATCTGCTTGGCCACGAGACGGTAGTCGGAGAAAGTCAGGTAATGGGTATCGGGGCGATCGGCATCATAGAAGGCCTTGCGATCGGTGATGGGCTCGAAGGAGGAGCCGAAGATCCATTTTTGAAGGGAGCAGTTCGGAATGGGCTCCGTCCATCGCGACTTGATCGGCATCTTGTTCTAGAGTTGATTCCCGAAACAGTGTTGTGAAATTTGACCGATCAGACTTGTAGTGAGATCAAGTCGAGTTTTGAAGAGGACGTTGTCGGTTGAAGGTGAATCACCTCTTGCTCGCTACTTGACGCGAGTGTTGAAGCTCTCCCCGGACTTAAGACTGAAGATGTCGTGCTCGGAGCGTAGTAACGGATCGTTTTCGAGGGAACCCTGCCACGGTAAGGTTTAACACTTCTACTGCTGCCCCAGTCTGAAGAGAGCCGAGGGACCCGTGTTTCTCGAGTAATCTCTATTGTTTACTAAACTCGAGTCAGTGAGCCGTTATCTTTGGATGATTGAGAACAATACCAACTTACCTGGAAGCTGAATAGCTGGCTTATCGTACCTTGTAAAGAGCAAAAACGTGCACAGCATTAATACATCACAACCGAAGTCATTAAGAGACTGCGACAATGCGAATCCGAGGTGGGCTGGCTAGTTCATATAGCAACCGACAAGACCTTGGCAAGGCAGCTCCAGAAGAACGACGACCCCAGATCCCCACGCCATAGCGACCAATAGCCATGCAATTCCCGCGAGAACATGGAGCAGACGCAAGCTCGCAGCGGCGGTTTCGACGCATGTAAACCTGGGGGGAAGGCCTTTCGTGACGCTAGATCTCCGCACTGGACCCCTGTCGATGCGGGGGTGAGTTATGGGGGTGAGCTTCGCGTATGGACGACGGCGAGAAGAGCTGAGGAAGAGCCGAGGCACGGCTAACGGAAAAGAAGAGGTGTGCGTGTGTGAGGGGGAATCGGAGACGACGGTCAACTCTGAAGGCGTGGATGTCCTGAAATGGTTTACAAGTCGTTCGGCTGCCCAACCTTCTGTAGCCGCCACCACCTTCGGTCGAAAGATGGGTGTCCATTGGGGCTCGTTCGTGGGGTGCGAGATAGACCGAAGAGCGAGCAGCGAAGGGTTCATCAACACAACTTCCAGAGCCGCTCTTTTCCTTTTTTTCGGGGGTTGTCTCAGGCTTGGGAAACGAAACTTGAGGTCCACGAGGTGAACGTGCGCAGATCCAGGTCCCAGAGCTTCATCTGATGTCATCTGGCGGAATTGAGTGTTGTTCGAATCCTTCTTTATCGCCAAGCCGCGCCTGCTGTTTATTCCGTGAACACCACTCTTAACTTGGTATTACAAAATCGGTTGGACTTTGGCGTCAGCCAATTAACGGTTTCTTGTGATTTCGCTTGAGTGTCGCTGACAGGCTTAGGCTGTGACACCTCAGCCGTTGATTGAAAACTCATGTCTCATCATTGAGCCTCCATCGTCCGAGGTAAAATTCGGTTGTTCGCAACCTGGCACAGATGTCTGAAGTGCAAGATGGCGATAGCGTGGCATCTTCTGTCAAGCTAATTTGTATGCGCCGAAAGCTCGCATTCACTGGTGAAGTTGCATGTCAATCTATTCGTCGATGGGCAAAGCAACTGATAGGAAATTTGTACGTAACCACGAACAGCAATGTCGTTCAGGTAGAAAGTTGGCTAGTTTGACTAACAGCTAGAATCAAGACCTGAGATATCAGCTATCATGCATCGGCAAAGCTTATAGGTCTAAAGTGCAACTCATCAAATGCAAATGTATTCGAATTGATTGAATAGAAGTAGTAACCAGCTTGCCTTTTGCCGGAACTCACAAAATTGGAACCACTCGAAGATGGACGGGCGATGATGAACGATGACAGACGTATCGAGTGGGAACAAGACGGAGTTGTGGGGTGGGTTTGCGCCGCAGCTTCTGCACAAATTTTATGCAAACTCAATGACACCTCGACGGCTGCATAAAACGGGTTTCCGTACATTAGCCGACCCAACCAATCATCGTCAATCATTATCCAAGCAGCTCACGACTTTTGAACCTCCCGGAATCCGAAGCGAAACAGCCATCACCACCACGCCCTCCGCCATCGCCAATTGAGCTGCCACCATCCCTCGCCATGGCCTCCAGATTCACCCCCCTTCTCTTCAGATCAGCCCTCCGCTCGACGTGTCGAGCGGCGCGGCCCCAGATCCGCTCCCTCTCCGTCACAGCCGTCCGCCCCAGCGACACATTGCAAGTGGTAAGTCACTCGCCTTTCGCCCTCGTCCTTGGGACCTCGCGGCACCCCGCCCTCCGGCCGGCCTCGACGTCACCTTCCGCAAGGTGTCGACATGTGTGAGAAGAAAGCCGAGGGTGTGCAGTCGACAGAGGGCACATTGTCCCCAAGATGTCCCCAAGAGGATCTATTAATGCTGACCGTTCTCGCTCCCTGCAACAGCACCGCGACAGCCCCAAGAACAACGCCGAGATCCCTTTCAAGTTCAACAAGGAGAATGAGGCCATCATCGCCGAGATCCTCAAGCGCTACCCGCCGCAGTACAAGAAGGCCGCCGTCATGCCCATCCTTGACCTCGGCCAGCGCCAGCACGGCTTCACCAGCATCAGCGTCATGAACGAGGTCGCCCGCATGCTCGAGATGCCCCCTCAGCGCGTCTTCGAAGTCGCTTCCTTCTACACCATGTACAACCGCACCCCCGTCGGAAAGTACTTCATCCAGGCCTGCACAACCGTGAGTTCGCCCGCCTCTTCCCCGTCTTACGAGAAATCAATTGGTGGAAAAGAAGGATGGATATCTGATGGGTCGAACACACACGACACAAGCGGTGGACGATATCGCTATCGGGTGGCATGATCGAAGAGGGAATTACAATGAAGACAAACGTACAGTCCCGGCTGACCAAGAATTCCCCAACAGACCCCCTGCCAGCTCGGCGGTGTCGGCTCCGACGTAATCGTCAAGGCCATCATCGACCACTTGGGCATTAAGCAGGGCGAGACCACCAAGGACGGCCTCTTCACCCTCCTCGAGGTCGAGTGCCTCGGCGCCTGCGTCAACGCACCCATGATCCAGATCAACGACGACTACTACGAGGATCTCACCCCCGAGACCACCGTCCAGCTCCTCGACGCCCTCAAGGCCACCGCTACCGCTACCGGCGGCGTCTCCGCCTCCAAGGTCCCCAAGCCCGGACCTCTCAGCGGTCGCGATACCTGCGAGAACAGCAAGGGCCTGACAAACCTCACCTCCCAGCCGTGGGGCCCCGAGACGACGAGAAGCGACTTGTAAGAACAGAAACGAAGAAATCTAGTGCGTAAGGTGAGAGGAGAGGAGGGGAGGGGATGACGCTCCGGGAGGCAGAGAGATGACAGCGCGTGCGCGGATGTTGGAAGATACCGACGAAGAGGCGGGCGAATGGAATAGGAGCCAGGGGTTCTGGCTTGTATATAAATCACACATGTGCTGTATTCGGAATGCATGGGAAGACGGTTTTAGAGATCCACGGTCCTCTTTTCCCCTGCTCGAAGCCGCAAGTACTTGTGTGCATTGCTCTTTTGTTTTGACATGAAAAAATAATTTGGTCAATTGCTGTCTGGACTGTCGCTCAAAAACCTTGTTCTGTTCTTCAAAGTTGGGGAATATGGAAGTGAATTAAGAAAAAGAAATGCGTCGGTCGGTTGAGAATGTGTCTCACTCTGGGAGTCTCAAAATCCATCCGTCGCGCAGTCTCTTGTTCTCCGAGCTCAGCCCTCCCCAAACAACAACACCGGTCTCCTCGACATCTCCCATCGGCGACGTCGCGAACCAGCCTCGAGGTGCCGGCTCGCCATCATCGTTGTCGTCGTCGTAGGGCTCCGTCGTAAGTCGCGTCCACTTACCCTCGCCCGTCTGCCAGCCCATGGTTGACCACATGGCATCCCGGACGCTGGCGGCAGTCATGCCGTGGGGCGGGACTTGGAATGCCCACACATCGTCCCACATGGCGCCGGCGCCGGAGTGACCGTCCGGGCTCGGCTCCCGCTCGCCCATGATGAGCAGCAGATACTCACGTCCACCGCCAACGGTCACGGCCTCAAGGCCGGCCACACTGCGGTTGCCGGGCCATGTTTGGCCGGGGACCTGGTGGATTTCTTCCTCGCTCGTCTTGGCACCCTGGACGATGCTCTGCCATCCACCGCGGCCGTGAACGGCGATTTCACTCTTAGAAACGCCATCGTCGAAGGTGTCCATCTCGAGATGAATGAAGTCCAGTTGGCCTCCAAGCTCACTCTTGCCGTCGAAACCACCAAAGCGGAACAACCGGCTCTTGCTCACGCAGATGGCTGCGCCGCCGCGGGCCGGACCAGGAGCGGAGGGAAGCTGACTCCACACACGGCTTCGGACGTCGAAAGCCCAAAGATCATTGGTGCGTTCGCCGCCCGCTAGGCAACCGCCGTGGACGAAGAAAGTACCGTATCCCTCATCCTCTTCGTCAACGGCGTTGGCGGCGAGGTGGCCGACGATGGGAGCTTGGGGAATGCCAACTTCGGAACTGTCGCCAATGGCCCAAGTCTTCCAGGTTTGGGCACGGCGTGGGCGCTTCGGAGCGAAGTCGCGAGGGCGGTCGGTAGCCGCGGCGGAGTGGTAGGATCGCGGCGAGGGCATGGGTAAGTTGGTCACGCCAGGCGCGGGAGGGACAGGGTCGAGGTAAGTCCAGGTGTTGGTACGGGTGTCGAAGACCCAGACGCGACCGGCCTCTTCGAGAGGAATCATTTCGGGACCGCCGCGACCGCCGAAGACGAAGATGCGACTGCCAATGACAGCGCTGGCGTGACCAACGCGCGCGGGAGGAACCTCACCGAGTGCGGCCTTCTCGGGAGTGGCGGGGCCCTTGCCCTTATCCTGGACCACCTCTGCGCTCTCCTCATCGCCCGAGATGTCTTCATCGGCAGGACCGGCTCCCGGTGAGGCGAGGGACACCTCGTCAAGGAGCTGCTCCTTTTGCTCGGCCTTCTCCTCGACGGTCGGTTCCTCCACCTTCACTTCGACCTTCTTCGCGACTGGCTCGGGGTCGGAGGGTGGGGTGTACTGCTTCGGAGGGACAGACTTGATCTTGTAGTAGTCGGCACCGGCGCTGTTGTACGGCAGCCTAATGATGTGGACATCGTTGTCGACGGGTTCGCGCGGGCTGACCTCGCCGCCAAAGACGTAGGCGCTGCCATTGACGACGTTAAGGGTATGAGACGAGCGAGCCAGAGGAGGGACGTCGATCTTCTCCCAGGTGCCCTTCATGGGCTTGGGTCCGGAGCCGCTGGAGAGCGATGGCCTCTTCACGTTGACATTGGGCATGTTGGGCATATTCTGCGGTAGGGATTGGAGGATTTCGGTCGTCCGACGCTTGAGAGCTCCAAAGGACTCCATGATTGCGGTCGTGGAAAGGTAGCTTCTTTAGATTGTGTATCGAGACCGGAAGGTGGAGAGAAGAATGAGGTTGAGTGGGCAGATTGCGTGAATATGAGGTCAAGTCAATGTGCTGACTGTTGCTGCTGATGGCCGATGGCTGATGGATGGCCTTGACGATATGACGTAGCTAAGCGCTTCTCACCTCAGCTTTTGGGGTTGTTTGTGGATTGTAAGCGAGCCGGGGGGAGCCAGGGCCGGAAGCGGAAGGATTGTAAAGGAACAGCAGAATGGAAGATGTTGCACCTGAGGGGATTGATGAAAGAAGAGAAACAAAGTTGGCTGCTGCAAATTGCTCCTACTGCCTTTTCCCGTTTCCTCGTATCACCAGCCGCCTTTGTGTACTTCGTAAAGTACCTGATGGGACTATGATGATGGCTCAGCTTGCGGAGGGAGCGGGGGCGCAGGCTGCTAGAGCTCCTTCTCGTCCTATCATCGCATCTGATGGCATGGTCGGCAGTGCTGTTGGCGGGGTTCCCGCCGGCTCTGTTCGCTCCTCCTTGGTTCCTCCCGGTGCCCCGTCGTGTGCTGGACCCCTAGAATCAGGGCACGGATTCCATGGACCTCCTCCTAACAACGCAGTCAGCTCACCCAGCCGCATGCGAATCCATGGCTTCATCAACTGGGGGACATATTGATAAGACGAACCGCAAGGCCGGCATGATGGAGCTAAAACACGAAATCGCCAATAGCTCACCAGCCGCGCTCGATGCCGGACGACCGCTATTAAACCACCAAATCAGCCACACACCAGCCCAAACCGTTAAACATTAGGTCTAGCGATCAAAAACACTGGCAGCGCTCAGCGCGACTCAGCAGCCCGTTGTCACCGGGCAATGATCCCACAAACGCCCCTCAATCGCTATGTATTGGAGACGGATGACTCCAATCAGATCCCGGTTGTGAGAGACAAGCTCGACAGGACAACTTGGATCCAGCCACGACACGAGAACACCCTTGCACCGAATCCCACTCCGTATCACGGACACGGCCAGCGTCCGGCGCTACCCATCTTGCAGGCTTACTCCGCCTTGGCATCTCCGTCCTCCTGTTCATCTCCGGAGGACATCCCGTGCTCGGGACCATCATGACTTCCGACACGGCATCTATCGCGAAACCGGGGCTGCTGTACGGATACGGAGGCAGAAGTGCTGTGGATGGGGCTTGGGCATGGTCGCGTTTCTGCATCCCGGAAGAGTCTCGTACGTCAATTTCAATGACGTATGGCATGAATTCGTCACGGATCAGCGTGAGGCTCAACAGCGCCAGCTCCCGTCCGCTGACAGTTTAATGTCGCGAACGAGGTCGAAGTATTCCAGCGGCTTCAACCCTGTGAACCACGTGTGGACAGGCACCAAAGCTGTCTGTTTGCCTACAGGCACTACATCGTTCAACTACCTACACCTATCAAATCCACCACCTTCCCGCTCACCAACACATGAAAGAAAACCATGCCCGAAGACATAGTCTCACGAAAAGGTGCTGTATCAACCCCGACAACGCATCCATTGCAGTGAACGGGCCGATCACTTTTCTTGGCTGCGTTATGACTTGCGCGGCTGAGGGGGCTAAATCGGGTGGTGATGGTGACACAGCTTCTCGCCGGCGGAAGGATTTCTACACATTTCTTTTTCTCCTTCGGCTAGAAGTGTGCTGCTCAGCTTTCATTGCTCTGCACCTCAGCTTCTCCAGGCCTCGCGGCGTCGACGTCATGATTCTATCTTCTCAACGTCGTACTGGCTCAGGACGCCGATCCTCAATGCCAGCTTCAACGGCTGTTGCAAGCTCCCAGAACTGTTGCAGAACATCTGACTACCACAAATAGCCATGGGTGTCTCAGCCCATTCCACCTCTCACACCTCTGTTGGTCTTCATCTGCACCGCCGCCCGAATAGCTGGCCCATGTCGTTGCCCCCCCTGGCGGCACTTTGCACATATGCGAACCCTGTCGATGAGCTGAAGCACTGTTGTCGAGCTTCGGCAAGAGAGACCGGAATAGCCAGTGGAGGCTGAGAAAGCTGTGTGCGCAGATAGCTCGCCGGCTTGCTGATGGTTCATCAAGAGCAGACATGTTCAGTTGCCGCACAGGCTGCCAGGATGGCGGCGGCTGCCTCAGTGGTGCCGCGGACGGACATGAGGGCATGTTGGTCGCCAACACTGAGAGCCTCTGTCAGCTTTCGACGCATTAGGTATCTCATCCCCGACCAGACTCATCCTGTGACCTCCTCAAACTCCGCCTCGGCTAAGTTGTTCGCGTTTCTGTCTCAAGTGGTTGGTGGACATGCGGCACGTTTGCTACTGCCTCAACCAAGTAGGGAGGCTCAGCTACTTGAAAATCAATCTTACAGCGGAGTTGCTCTTAGCCGGTATCTCCATCAAATTTCTGAAACTTGCCCTCATCCTGGCTATTAACACAGCAATACGCCTTCAGGATGTTATTATCTAGCTCCCATCTTTTGGCCCTCTGAGCTACGACCCCTGTCTTCATCTGGATGTATGCCGCTAAGTGCTCCAACGTAAAGGATAGCCCGGCGATCATTGGACCTCCAGGTACTACTATGACAATCCAAAGTAGAGGGTAATTAAGAGTTCGTTCGGTTGACATCACCTTCTGGTTCTGGCACAGCTGTTGGTCTATCGTTTTCTTCTTGTTGCCTTCGCTATGTTGATACCAGACAACAGTGGCGCAGGTCCCATGACGAGCTCTGGTATATTCTACTGGAATTTGGAAAGTCCATCTGCAAATAAAGAGTCAGTATCGGTTTGCCATTAGATGTTAGCTAGCCTGTGTTGTTGCGTCCCTCCGGTGGTGGTCTCCTGTGCTCTCAGGGCCATGTTCATATCATACGCATGCTTGGCGCAGTCAATGCCTTCACATTGCACTGGGTAACGGCGACTTGGACTTCATCTAGGTCGGCTACATTATTGAAACCAGCAGCATCTTTGTTTCGCTATTATTGAAGGCCACTCCATTATGGGAATATGGTCACCGGTCGCTGGAGGTCGCTTTCGTTCAGATGAAGACTGCGGTGAGGTACCCCTTCGTTTCCTATGCAATGATCAAGCTCCACAAACCATAGCTGAGACTAAGTGTTGTTTGGTTTTATCCGCCATGGAGGCAAGGCAATCTAGCATGAGGATAGGAGACGCTGGCTGTAAAATCTTTGGGTGTATGCAGTCGCTTGTATGCCCTCGAACGCGCACTTTCCCTTTCGAGTTCGGTCCATTCCCGATGCTTCTTCCCTGGGCTCCTTCCTTTAGATACAGGTTTGCGCTCCTTCCTTTCACCAACGAGCAGGGCAAGGTGGCCCAGATGGTTAGGTCGTTCAATACGATCCTGATCCGGACACGCTTACTCTGATCGTTGGAGCTCAAAGGTTCGATTGTGCCTTTTGCCATTCGACTCCTTTTTTTCCTCCTCCCTGTTGTCTCTGGAGGTGAATACTGCACTCAACCAATCCGTTCAATGTCCCGCAGTATCCCGATCTGACGAGTCGAAAATAAGATGCTACCTGGACAGAATACGACGAATAAACAGCTACCAGACTCGAAATTATCGCCTAGGGGACGGCGAGAGCGGATCATGGAAATATTTTGAGGAAGTGTTGGTGAGTTGAGTCTCGAGAGGACGGTGTGATTATTATCAGCAGGCGTTCTCAACTGCAAGCCCGGTCAGTATTTTGCGAGAAATCATTCTTGCGAGAAACATCATTAGAATTGGACGTAGAAGATATCCATATTGTAAAAAGAAAAGACAAAACCGCATAGGCAAGATGAGAATCAGAACACAGCTGTTGTCATATATGAAGCCAGTCCTGTCGATATGAGAATGCCGTTGTTTAAGGCAGACAGCCCTGCAAAAGTGAAAGTTGACGATGAAAAGGTTGCCTCAAAGAACTGCCTCTCCAGTGACAAGGCTGATTGTTGCGATGAGAGGAATCATGCGTCGTGAAACTCGGTCGACTTGGCATCGATGGAACACTTACACTTATACGTACAGGTTGCACGGTATGAAGGCTGGACAGCCTTCACATTTGAATACGCAATCGTTTCTATGTACTGCCTGAAGTTTACTGCCTAGAGCTGTAGAAGTTGTTAGCAGTACCCAAGGACCTCTCACAGAAAATGAAGTCTGGAATAGTAGTATCTCATGGGAGACTTTCATCTAAAGAAGGACTATGAGACAAACTTTTTTAGGACTCGCGTTTCCAGGTCGGCATATGAGTTGCCACACATAGTGATGCTTCCAAAGTGGGATTCGAGGATGCTCAAAAACGGTTCGTGAATCATTCGCGCCGTAAATGTGATATCCGTTTACAGGTTTACCGGCAGCCACCCATGAAGTTGGCTCGAGGCCCTTGGCATCGATGATCCAAGACTTCGCAAGAAGCTGCAGCATCTATGAATAGCTCACTCTCTACCCTGATCATGTGCATATTCCGGTTCTGGCACAGTCCCCCCGAGAACGCAGCAACAACCATCGGTGAGATGAACACCCTCGTCACCCTACCCGGGCACCCAGAACACGAAGACCTCAAAACAGCCAGTTCACCCCGGTATCAATCAACATTATAAGCGTTTCGGTCCCGAGAAGGTGGTCTACCGGGGGAAGGGGACCAGGGTCAACAACACCAAGATGGGCCAAGATGAACCAAAGTTGATATATGCATGCACCTCGCAAATGTCCCAAATGTTGGTTACATATTTGGCAACATAACCACGCTGCACGGCACGGCCACGACAATCAAACATCAAATCAAGCATGCGTCAAGGATGCCTATGATGCGTCCTTGCAGACAGAGCGTTGATGACTGCTGCGCCCACCGGATAGAGTACCCTTCACACTCCCACCTGTCCATCTGCCCGCCTGCGGCGCTGTCAGTCGATTATCTGGTTCCGAATGCAAGTAACGTTAAATCTTGACAGGACTATCTTCCCACTCCTCCTCTTCCAACCCCCCCTAGCCCTAAAGAAAAAGCCCAGCCCAGCAACGCAACCTGCGTGGCTGTGTTGCTTTTTTCCAAATACACTCCCTATCCTTACCCGATGAAGGAAGAGGGGGGAGGGGGCCAGCAGGGCAGCAGGCCAAGGTCATCACTCTATCCCACCGAAAAGGCGGCCCAGCTGCAGGGCCAACGGTATCCAACGCGTACTAGTGCTGACATTGCTTAGCCCTCGCTCCCCGCCTGTCAACCTGCGCTGTCTGGTCCGGCCGGTCTGGTGCGTTCGATCAGTTCGTTGTGCGGTGTCTCGGGCCAGCAAGAGTGTGCGAAGGCGTTCCAGAGGCGGAGGGATCGAAAAGCAAAAGCGGGCTTTTCGCCCGTGTGGTCACCATCGCGAGTTTTGGGGGCCGAAACGCGCTCGGCTGGGGAGGACGAGGAGAAGCGGAACGGCGGAATGCTGTGATGGCGTCAGCACTCTGAATCAAATGAGATGCTGGACGGCGTGTGTGGTTCGGTACGGGTACGGGCACGGGTACGGAACGAACTGACAAGTTTGAGGCCCTAGGTAGGCGGGGAGATGGACCCGAGAAACACGACTACCCTCATGCAGGCCAGCGGCGTTTGGATGCCGCATGCTGGCCACCTGTCAGAATTTTTCGCACCGTTACACGCCTCCGTACATTCCGCCCGGAGCACGCCCCTGCTACTCCTCCTCCCTCCTCCTCCTCACCCTCCTCACCCTCCTCACCCTCCGGGGCGGCTCTCAAGTCTACCTCGTTTCGATTAGCGCCGCCAGAAGCATTTTGAGCCGCAATGTTCAGGGTCCGAGGGCTGCCCCGGCCAGAGGAGGGCCTGACTGCCGCCGGAGCGGTGGAGAGAAGGTGTCGCTACCTGTCTAGTTGGTGTAAGTGGTGGTCGTGTAAGTGGCCCTTCTCGCTGGCAGCCGCGAAGCGTACGCCGTTCCCGCCAGCCTCAAACACGACCGTGGTCAACATAAGGCGGGCCCCATTAAGCGCGTTGAGATGATGTTTATCGCCATTAATGCAAGGCTCGGGAACGTCAAATGTACGCGGGGGATTTGCGCGGTGTTCAGGGGCTCGCGCATGGATTGCCGCCTTGTTTACGACGAACCGGTTCCGGTATCGTGAGACACTCAGTGAACTGTGACACGGAGCAATCATCAGCGGATATTAGAGAAGTTGTGATTTTGGAGATTGCAGATCAAATTGGTATCAATATACTATCAAAATTGGAGAGTCGTGATAATCATGAAATCCGGTGGCCCTATCCCACGTGTGCCATTTCTATCCCTGATTAATGATTCTTCTTTTCCCCCATTGCAGTCAGTCGCCAAAATCAGATTAGAAAGCTCAAATCAATAACACCACCCATGACAGTAGGTATAAAACTTGAAAAATAGGGAAATAGGTATCGTAAAGTTGTCAAGAACGCCTTGAAATGCCAGGACGTCTAGTTGACGACATGAGTGTGGAGATGTCAATGAAGAACGTATAAGAGGCCTCTGGGCAAGATCATTCCTCGTCCTCGCCCTCGGCATCCTCGTCGGAACCGCCAGCTACAACAATCTCCTTGAGGGAAGGAGAAGAAGAGGGGGCAGCGTAGCCAGTGCCACTTCCTGGCTTGCCGTTACCTGAGGAAGGACCTACCTCGCCTTTGAGCGGGTTGATCAGCTCCCATCCCTCGGGTGTGTTTGTCTTGCGGACGACGTAGACCTGCGCGCTCGAGGCCCACTCGGTGAGTGTTAAGTCACCCTTGCCGCCGAAACGAACGACATCCTCCTTGCCGTCTGCGGCGCGCTCGAGGTGGCGAGCGACGTGCTCCATGCGCTCGTCCCACGCCTGCGGACCGTTGAATTCGTGACTGCAACCGATGGCAGGGCAGCGCATATGTCGTGGGAGCTCGCAGCGTGTCTGCTCAGCTTCGGCTTGGAGGCCCTTGAGGTGCTCGTCCCATTCGGGGGTGGGCTTCTTCTGCTTCTGGACCTTGCGGACGTTGGGGGGAACGTGCATGCGGCGGACGTGCTGTGTGTAAAGGTCCTTACGGTTGAAGATGGCGCCGTTGGGAAGAGCAGGTGGTGTCGGCGTAACGGAGCATGAGGAAGAGGAAGAGCGTCGAGAGTTGGGCGGGTTGGTCGTCTTTGAGCAGCCATCCTGGGTGCAGAGCCAGTAGTTCAGGGCCAAATGTTGCGAGCTCACATGGCGCTTCCACTCGTTCTTGCTGGCGAACGTTGACGGGCAGCCGGCGTAGTTGAAGACGCAGACGAAGGGTCGGGTATGGTGCTGCTTCATATGCTTCTGATAGGTGCTCTCGTCCGAGAATTGTGTTTTGCACTCGGTGCAGAGAATCCTGGTACCTCGAGAGGGAACAGCCGGGTTCAACCTTGTAGCGTGGCTGGAACCATTGCTGTTGACCCTTGGCCTTTTCTTCTCGGGTGTAGAACTGGAGGGGACTTTGGCAGTAGGGTTGCGGGTGCGCTTCCTGGAAGCCTTCGGCTTGAAGTCCAGATCCTTGTCGTCATCTTCGTATGAAGAAACCTCGACCTTGATCGAACGCTCGGGGGTCTCATACTCTGGGTCAGGGTATGTGTTCTGAAAGGGTTGCTCATTGACCTGGGCCTCCTGCTTAATAACAGGCATAGGAGTGATTTGTCGCGAGGGGTACGCGCTGGGGTGGGCGGTGGTGATGCCGTCAGACTCGGTGCGGAAGTCGAATACCTGCTCAGAGCTCGATTCCATAGGTACCACTTCGTTCTCAAACATCACCTGGGAGAGAACCTCGTGGGGGTTAACGCAGGCAGTGCTTTGCGAACCCATGCCAAGCAGTGATTGAAGCTGGTATTGCTGCGAGCCCCAGTCGGTGGTGTACTGCTTGGGTTGGATACTCGGAGAGATGGCCGAGCAGTCTGGGGGAGTCGACGGGAGAACGTCGCTTTCTGTGGGAGGGCTGTTGGAGTGACAGCTTGACAACGTCTGGGAGCAGGGAGAGTCTTGTCGCCTTTGTGAAGCGGGCGGGAGGTGGTAGATGCTTTGAGCTGTGTGGTTCATGTCCTGCATAGCGTGAACTTGGCCGGGGTTGAAGAAGGAAGTTCGCGGCTCTCCCATGTATTGTTGGATCTGGTGGGTTGGATGGTGGATAGACCAGGCTGCCTGGAACTGCGGTTGGGAATACACCTGGAGCCTTGGGTCGACGGGAGTGCAGGAGTTCATTCCGTCCATGTAAGGCATTGTCATGGGGCTGAAGCTCTGGGGTTCGTAGTAATGCTCTTGGGGAGCATGTTCGTACTGGTTGGCGTAGTCCATGACGACTGATTATGTGTTGCTCAAGAAGTAGTGAAGAAGATATTTCACAGGGCCGAGTAGATTGTGTCTTGTACTTGAGTTCCTCGAGGAGTATCTGTTGGTCTTGGGATAAAGGCAATGCTCCAGACCAAAAAATGTGTTGGTGTAGTGGTGTCCGGATAAGACCTCAGACTAAGGTAGGAGTTGGATGCGTCCTTGATAGACAACAGAGCTGATAGACTTGGGTTGAGAAGTATGCGTCCAAGCCGGGACTTAGCCGACGACGGGATAGATGGATTATATAAACGAAAGTGTCCAACAAATGCGAGAGCACATAGGAAACCCTCTCAACACTTGGTATGAACAGTAGGAGACATGATGATGGCATCAGAGACCTGCCGGCGCAGCGTGGCGGAGCTCAGGTTGTTATAAGTCGATAGGGTGGCCGGACTTCAGGAAGACGGTTTGCAAGGGCAGCCACTAGGCGTCTCCTCAGAGGAGCTTGGGGGAAGAGCAGAACCCCGAACGAAAGAGGTACGTACTGTTTTCGCAGAGCCGCAGAGCCTCAAAAACTCGAAGGAGTTGGGCGGGAGACTGAAGGGCGAGTGAGAAGTGAGAAGCTGCGCAAGGAATGGGTAAGGATTGGCAGTCGACAAGTCTATCCTCATCAGCACGCGCTGCGGCGCCTGCAGCAGACACCCCTGAACCCAAGGGTGGCCCTGGCGAGGAGAGAGCACACCACCATACGACGATGAGCCTCTGTTGGCTTGCATGTGTATGTACATAAAATTATACAGGAGCCCATCGTGGCCGTTGGTGCAGGGCCATGGGGGCCGGCCTGGGATTTGCAAACCATCACGACAACAGGCGGTGGTGGTGAGGGTTGTGGATGATGGAGGGTGGGAGGAGCCGCCAGGGCTGTCCGCTGCGCCCTGGTCTGCCACTCTGCTTGTTCGTCTCGTCTCCACGAGGACGGATACCTAGGTAGGTATCCGTACTGGGCTTGTTTCTGTTGAGCTGTCCCGAGTAGGTTAGGCATACGATGTGGTGCGCAGCACTCTGTATCTCTCCCCATGTCTCTGCGATCCAGGCAGAGACAATCTGGAGCCCTGGACCGGTTGCCTTTTTCCAGTTGCCTCGTTCTAGCGCAGCGAATAAAAAGCGCCTTGGGCAGTCATGGCCAATTCTTTGTGCCTGTCGTCAGTCTTCCGTGCAGCGAAGTGTGCCAAATCAAAGCATGCGGACTCGATCCAGGTCGATTCGATGATGTAGGGCTTTCCCACGGCTCCCTTCTTCGCCGTTTGATGCAGTGTCGTGTCGGGATCCGCACGAGAATGCATTACATCGGAAGAGTCGGTCAGCTGGTGTTGTCGATATTGAAATTTGACTTGATAAGTCCCATCTGCAATGCTGCGTTCCACCCCAGATACTGGAGAGTTGATCCATTTCAGCATCCCCTTTTCGCCGTGGACTTGGTCCAGTCGACTCGGACCAGTTTTGATGTCTGCAGTGTAAGCCGAGACCCTGGGACGGTGATGGATGAAGTTATGGGCCACTGAGTATTGGTAAAGGGACGGCGGGGTGAGCTAGAGAAGGCCATGAGATGGGCACGAGATGGGCCAATCGCAGTGCGGTCGTCGTACTGGAGCGAATCTGCTAAGGAACATGGAATTTGATCCTAGAGAAAGGCGCCGGCAGATATTGGTATGGGGAAAGCGTCGAAACGACCTAGTCAACCACGCCGCAACGTGTTATGCTAGTAGGGAGTCCCCTGGCTGGAATCGATACCGAGCGCAGTCTCAAATTTGACATTGTTGCTCCTCCCAAGTCAGAGTCCGACGAGGAAATGGAGCGGCAGAGGCATGACAGGGTACAGCTAGGCATTGTCCAAAAGCAATCAGAGATCGTCATCGGGGGTTGGGCGTGGAAAGGGAGAGTGACAAATTGGGGCCTTGTGAAGCGAAAATGGGCGAGTAAAAAGAGAGAGAATTGAAGGGCCGTGGGAACAGAAGAGATCCAGTAAGTACGGATAGACGGCGTGGACGGGTCGGAGAGGAGGGTGAAGGTGGGAAGAGATTGGCTCCCCGCAAGGCGAACATCGTGTAAGGCAATCACTAGCAAGCCCTAGCTGCATTCCGTCGCAGTCGTAGGTGCAGTGGCAGTTGTGTCGAGGGAAGACTGCAACTTCAAACCTCACTTTCTGCGGCAGGTGAACTGTGAACTGTTAGTGAATGCCAGCTGTCGTTGCTGCTGCAGGTGCAGCTGGGATTGAAACGGACCCCACGTCACTTGGCCTGTCCGGTCAAGTATACTGCTCAAATACTGCGACATCTATCAACCCTGCTCAGTGATAGCTCCATACTTTTGCTGAAGAGAAGAGCTTTGGAGCTCTAGATGGCGACGGGACAGAACCTTAGGTGAGGCGCGTAAGGCGCTCCAGATCCAATGGAACGGAAAGAACCCCCGCCTTGATAGAGCTGGAGCACTTTACTAATCCGTACCCACGTCATAACGAGTATCAGGTAAGCAAGAGCGGCCGCTGAGCTAAGGTAACCCGACGTCTTCCGCGCCTGGACCCTGAGGTGCTAGGTGCCTATTCTGGTGCCTTGGTGTCTACCTTACCCGAACTCCATCTGCTCACATTCCATTTTCCATTTGGTTTCCCCCCCACACATTAATTACGTGCCTGCTTCTTTTGCGCAGTATGGGCAGAATTCGCCAGCCACTGGGCAGTCAATCGGACCCAAAATCAACTTCGTCGACACGACTCTTCTTACGTACGAGACCAGCCAAACGGAATTGCGTCCCACGATGCCCGATGCCCTGGGCTGGGGGGCGCTGGGCTATCACGGTTCACCTCACCAGCACCTCATTAGCGGTCCTCCACCGTTCAAGGTCCGTCCCGTCTTGCGACCCGTGCTATGCCGGTCCTTGTTGTGCTACATCAGGTAATGGTTTCGGTCTCCATGGGGCAATACTGAAGCCAATCATCAACCTACCTACGGAGTACGGACTACTTCCACTCTCATTCGCCATCCTTCCTCCCTGCTAAAGCCATGCGTGGACGAACTGATAATCTCATCCGCCCAAAAATCGAACCGTCCGGACGAACTGAAGATGAACGATAATCCACCAGCGGATGCGGACACGGACTCTCTCAGCGAAAATTGTGGTTCGAAACCCCGACCACAACCCGACGAGCCCCAACTTGCCGACAAGTCGAGACTATGCGAAATACTCAACTCCAAGTCGTACTCCCAAAACGTCGCCCTTTACAGCAAATGCCGGTGACGAGACCTCGTCCCGATGCCAATCAATGCCTATATAGGCGCATCAGCACAAAAAAGTCGTCGTGTCAATCTCGAGAGGGTTAGGGCCCAGCGTCTTGGTGGTTGGCCACCATCTCGGGGACCCGTTCTCCGGCATCACTCTCCCAACTCGTCACGCCTACCGCTGCTTCATCACCCTTTCGGCATGCCTTCACCATGCAGCATGCACCATTTCACTGCAATAATGGCGTGAATCAATTTCCACATCGGCAAGAGATGCTGCTGTCTGACCTCTTTAAGCAAGTACAAACGCTGCTCACCACAACGAGCCTGGGAGTCCGTCCCCCTCAGCCATGGCTCCTTTCTACGACCCTTCTCTCCTCCGACCTGGGATTCCCGTTGGCTGGGTACCTCTCCCGGGTCCGCACAGGCTTGAATCGGAGATGGTCCGCCAAAGGCCGCCAGATTATTTCAGGCAAACCACAACTCTGCAATTCCACCCCGACAACCCGACAACCCGCCGCCCGGCACCCTTGTCTCCCAAGTCACGCTGGCCGACTTGCTAGGAATGTCGCCGATCAGTCGTACGCTCGTATACTCCAGCTTCGCGCCGTTGCGCTTTATCACCGACAATATCCTGTGAGTCTGCGACGTCGATGGCCACTTGAGATGTGATGCAATCCTGAGCGCGGAGTTGCCCGCACAACTGCGCACAAGCAGGGAGTCAAGGACCAGCCACTGGCTGTCGACACTAGTTACCACGTGCAGACGTAGCTTACCCGTCTTACGAATTACCCTTTCTGTCCGACGGATCCCAGAGAAGATTATTCCAACGTTACTCTGTATCCGTAATGTACCGTTCTGCCACAAAGTGGAACTTATCAACTACAGTCTGGACCGCAACCACTTGCCCGCGCTTCGCGTGTGGGTGTAAGGGAATAACACGAAGCTGGCTTGCCTGCCGGGTCGCTGCTCGCCCACGAAGGACCTCCAATACCGGAGGCTTCTCTTTCTAGCGTCCTGATCTCTCTTGATGTCAGAGAGCTCCCCCCTTTTCGGACCCCAAACCCAAAGGTTTCGAACCAAGTTCGGTTGATCATATGGTCATTGGTTAGCCAAGCCAAAGCTGAACGCCAGATCAGACAAGAATAAGGGTGCGGCAAACCTGAGCGGCAGGCGGCTATTTCGATCCCTCTAGAGTACGACACTCTTCCTAGTCGAGAGCCGACCCCGGCGGAGCCCTGTAAATTTGGATCCTACGAACTGGGGCCAACGAGACCAGCGTAAAAGCACCGCGCAGCAGTACCTATCGACTAGCTTACAAAAGCACCGCGCAGCATCCGAAGCAACGATGCCAGCCGAAGCCAGACTATCCATCGTCCGCTGCAAGGGCGATAGATAGCAGGAATCTAGTGGAGTCTCAGAAACTTAGCATGCCACCATGCTCGTAGTTGTCTTCGATGATCATTGGATTTTGTCTCATATTCGAGATCATACACGTCGTTGTATGGCTAGGGGGGTGGGTGTCTTCAACAACGATGGCGAAATGCGCGCAACTGGGCGATTTTGGTGCGCGCGAAGTTGCGCGGAGTGCGCGACAATTCTCATCTTCAACGCACAAATGCGCGTTCATGACCCAACACCACAACTCGATTGTCGCCAATGGCGTCACAAACCTTCGTTCGGCTCGTTTCGCAAGAAGTCTGCGTGTTCATCTGTAAGACCAACGTATCTGGTCCGTTAGCCGTGAAGTTGAGAGTCGGCAGATCACTGGTTGACAAAGATCTCGCATTTCTAGCGACCTCCGACCCAGTAAGGCGAAGCTGGTGGCCCATCTGGGCCGCTAGACGGCGTGCTTTGAAACAATTCTGCCGAAGAAGATTCGCCCTAATGAGAAAACACGCCCGCGGCGAATTCCAGCGTGTTGGTAACGGCATTGGAAGCTCTGGAAATCTGGGTCGACAGCATTCGTTTCGTACGCCTGCATTTCTTTTCCTCAGAAACATGCCTACCATACTCGGCGTGGCCGAAATGCAACGCTAGACGCTGCTGGTCGACCAGGACCCAGCAAGAATACTAAGCACGTTCATGGCGACAAGGGTCGACAGGGCTAATCACATGGAGTTGATCTTTTCCGACCAACGATGGTGACAAATGACGACGACACGCGGTGTAGGGTTTCTTTCTCCGCTTGAAGAAGATTAGGATTGAGATCCCGGTGCTCTGATCGCTACCTCTCGACTCATTCCGTAACAAGATCTGTGGGATTCATGACTTGGCTCGCTGGGGGCCGAGAACACGACCGGGCCTGGAGAATGAGATTTGGCTTCCACGGCCGGGATGCCGTTGCTGGTCCCCTTGCACCCGCCATCAACAGCAACGTCAACAACAACAGGCTGCTGCGAAATGACCCTATCTTGAGTATCATCAACAGGCACCTACATTTCGTTTAGTGGCTGGAAGCTGTCTATTGAAACTATATCCTTGCGCGATCAACTTGACACCGGCCATGGCGTGCCGAGCGCCCGCCACCGGGCCTGTCCCATCATTCAAGCTTACATGCCAGGTCCCGCGCCGGCGGCGTGGGCGTCGACCTCGAAGCAAAAGGTCGCCCCGGAAATTGCACCTCTGCCTCTATCACATCACCATTACATCGGTTGCTACCCAAAGTCAACTGCCGTCAGACCTGAGCGGTCAGTCTTCTTCAGCCGCACTGGAAAGGAAAGTTTGTTGAATCCTTCCGACACATCCAATACACGTGCTATTCGATCGCCTTGCTCCCTCAAGCCACCTTGAAGCAAGCGAATTAAGCGACCTTCCTCACCCGCCCCTTGGGGCCTCCTGAAAACACCGCCGCGGAGGAGGGAGGCCATGAAAAGAAAGCTGCATGGCCTCATCGTTATTCAAGGCGCCCAGCTCCAAGGGGTGTCGTCTTATGTCTACAGACACTATCCGTACCTGCCGTGTCCCTGCCAGCCCTGCCAGCCCTGTTCCTTCCCCGGCCCCCAAACATAGCACGGCATGGCCACCACATCCTTGAAAGTGGTTCGACTGGCTCAGTTTCTAGGGACGTTTCCCGCCTGCCTGGCCCTCCCGGCCCCCAAAATAACGAACCAGGGGTTTCGAAGGAATGATGGCCATGGAAGTCCATGATAATGGAGGGTGTTGGGTAGGTGAGATGAGAGGAGGACGAGGAGGGAGGGGCGTGTGTCTCTGGAACTTCGGATACTGACAGACATGGGATGGAAAAGACTTGGCAACACGTTTTGCACAGCTCCAAGGTTACCAGGCAGCTCCCTTTTCTTCTTCTGCGGACCAAACAATCCCGCAATCCAGAACCCCAGGTCTCGGGACGCTGCCGTCGAAGAAAAAGACGTCTGTCTGCTGGCTTGCTTGCTTTCCCCCTTCGAGGCTTTCCGAGCTGCGGCACGCGGTTGGCTGTACCCGGACCCTCCCTCGGTGCTTCTTCATCCTCGCCTCCTTCTTTCCCTACCACCCACCCTCCCCCCCTTCCCTTTCCCGCGCCGCTCGTCGACATATGTGCCATGCCAGGGGCTCTGCTTACGCCTTCTTCACTTCTTCTGCGAGGCACGTGTGATCGGTTGGCATGGCGGTGACGGGAACCTGGTTCTGCGGACTTTGACCGTCGGGGGGGGGGGGGGGGGGGGGGGGTGGAAACAGAAAAAGAAAGGGGGTGATTTTAAAGAAAAAATTTTT